TGTGAATCAAGTGGTAGTGTGCCAGCCTTGAGAGAAAAGTCTAAGGGGCAATATCCCGTACCAGCATAAAAACAAAGATTTTTTTCTCCCCAAATGATGAAAATATCCTGAAATTAGATGATGCTGATGACTCCCAAACTCTAACATATTTGATAACTATGTATACTTTAAATAGGTTGGTAAATTTTGTTTTAACATCAGTTAAAACAATTTTAAAGCAAGTACACAAAAACTCAGCATCACTAGACATTAGAGAAATACAAATCAAAACAAACCACAAGATACTACTTCATACTCATCAGAATGGCTATTAAATAAAGAAAAAAAAAGCAAATGTTCAGGATATAGAGCTATTGAAACTCTTCTGTATTACTAGTGGAAAACGTAAACTAGTTCAGTCACTATGGAAAAAAGTTTGGTGGTTCTTAAAAAATAACTTAGAATTGCCATATAATCTAGCAATTCCACTTCTAAGTGTAACTCAAAACAAGTACTTTAACAGATATCTTTATGTCATTGTTAACAGCATTATTCATAAGTCAAAAAGTGCAGGGAATCAAAATGTCCAGAAAGGGCTGGGAAGGTGGCTCAGTGGTAGAGTGCTTGCCTTGCATGCACGAGGCCCTGGGTTCGATTCCTTAGCACCACATAAGCAAAAAGAAAAAAGCCGCAAGTGGCGTTGTGGCTCAAGTGGTAGAGCGCTAGCCTTGAGCTGAAGAGCTGAGGGACAGAGACCAGGCCCAGAGTTCAGGCCCCACGACCGGACCCCCCCCCCAAAAAAAAAGTCCAGAAAAAGGTGAATGTTCTAAAGTTTTAGATGGGTATAAATGTTCTTTAACTTCAGAATACAGACTACATAACTAAAACACTATTTCTGATACATTAACCAAGAGAAACTAGCTTCAGTTGTAAACACAAAGTGACAACAGCTAAAGTACAGGTACCTGCTGGAAGAAACCAATGAACTCTAGTCATGACATATGGCCCAAGAGATGTTTCATTTTCTTCTTACAGGTGTCTTGTACATTTTTTCATTTTATTTTTTTGTTGGTCATGGGGCTTGAATTCTGGGCCTGGGCGCTGTTCATAAGCTCTTCAGCTCAAGGCCAGCACTCTACCACTTAGCCACAGCCCCACTTCTGGTTTTCTGAGTGGTTTACTGGAGGTAAGAGGTAAGAGTCTCACAGACCTTCCTGCCCAGACTGGCCCCACTTCTGGTTTTCTGAGTGGTTTACTGGAGGTAAGAGGTAAGAGTCTCACAGACCTTCCTGCCCAGACTGGCGCTGAACTGCAATTTTCAGATCTCTGCCTCCCGGGTAGCTAGGATTATAGGCGTGAGCCACTGGCGCCTGGCAATTTTTTCATTTTAGTATATGTTAAAGAGATTCCTTTTTAAGCAGTTCAAATGTAGGTATTTATTATTTCTGAAAGTTTTGCATTGAGTATATGCTCACAGACTGTATATAAGTTACTTGAAGCTATATTTTTTGTGAATTGTGGGTAAAGTTGAAGAAACAGCCACCTGTGAGAGTAACAATGATTCAGGAAGGGATTAATCTCACATAATTTATTATTTTATTCTAAAAACGGTGGCATGGTGCCATTTCTTACCTGTTATCATATGATTCTTGTTCTTTAAGGTATTGTTGCATTAATTCTTCTTGTTTCTTTTTATCATAGGATATTTTCTGTTCTGCCATCCATACCTAAATTAGTGAAGTAAAAAGTGTAAATTAAATAATTGGATTTATTTTTTCAGTCATGAGCTTGAACTCAGGGCCTGGATGCTGTCTGTCCCTAAGCTTTTTCACTCAAGCCTAGTGCTCTATCATTTTGAGCCACAGTGCCACTTCCCACTTACAGTGGTTAATCGGAGCTAAGAGTTTCCTGGTCTTTCTTGCCCAGGCTGGCTTTAAACCACAGTCCTCAGATCTCCTTAGGATCCAAGATTACAGGTATGAGCCACAAATACCCAACTGGTGGATAGCTGGATGTTTTTTGTTATTGTTGTTGGTCATGGGGCTTAAAACTCAGGGCTGGGGTACTGTCCCCAAGCTTTTTTGCTAGTGCTCTACCACTTTGAGACACAGATAAACTTCCGGCTTTCTGGTAGATAAATGGAGATAGAGTCTTACAGACTTTTCTGCCCAGGCTTGCTTTAACCAGGATTCTCAAATCTCAGCCTCCTGAGTAACTAAGTTTATACGTGTGAGCCACTAGCGCCTGGCATGGATTGTTGGATTTAAATTAAGAATATGCTTTTCTTCTGTAATCATATATAAGATGCCATTATTTATTGTTCACACTAATCTTATTTGGTCATTAGAAAAATCCCCACAAAATGACAACTGAAATATCTGATGTACACGTTGGTATAAGTCTTTAAATTCAACTACTGAAAACAGCTAGCTTTCAGGCAAAAGTGTCAACTTTGAAAATCACTTTTGTAGCCCCTTCCACTCAGTCCCTGCATTATTTCAGATAGAAAAAGCATTTCTTTACATGGAATATATCTAGTCTAAATAATTGTTTAGTATAAGGTACAACCAGTAGAACTGAACAACTGCTACAGATGCTAAGTGAGAGTCATTAATACATCAGAAGAGGAGAACTAGAGGCATCAAAGGACAAAAAAAGGAAAGGAAATAAAAGGTAGTTGTAGAACAGATGGAAGAGACAACAGAACAGATTAACACAGAGCTGTGCAGAGACATGTTTCTCAGGCTAAACGTATCTACGTGAAATTATCAAAATCATAAAAGTGGTGAGAGTAAAAACCTCATATAGTTTATGCAAGGATATTTAATATTATTATTTCCAGGTTTAAAAGGTATTAATACCTTTCTACTGTCTTTAGAATAAAGGACAAAATTTTTGATACCCAGTCAAGATAAAACAGTAACTGAACGTTTCTCTCTCCAAACATGCTGTTTCACAGTGTAAACTTAAGGACAGGCATACTGAGATAATTAATGACTGGAGATCAGATAAGCAAGAGTATGGGTCAATTACCATTATTTAATTTTAGAAGTAAAATAAAGGTAGCTAGTAGCGTTTTAGCAGTGGTTGAGGTAGGAAATTTCGATGAGAACACAGTTTAAGATGTGGAGGTGGAAAAGAATCCTCTGGGAACACATATACCAAACATTTTTTCTGGAATAAAGCTTTTTTCCTCTGTGACGTTATAGCAGAAGACAAATCTACCCTTGGGATAGTCACTAAAAGGCACGTTTGGAATTTTCATTGAAGCTTAACTTGTAAATAGTGCAAATAAGAACTGCAAGGCTTATTGACTGTCAGGATAACATACTACTTCCAACAGAATATTATTTAAAGCATTAAATTTTATATTATTTCACAGATCTCAATTGCTGAAGAAATCAAATTTTACAGATTGAAATAAAAATAAGTCTTGCTGTCTAAGTACTCATAATCTGCTAACAGAAAATCATGATTTTCAGTATGTTGCAACTATTTCATTCTTTAAAAGAGCTACATAAATAAGAATAAACTTTGAAATAAAGAACTAAAACAAAACAGCAATTATTTTATTGGGTCATATAAGGATATAGCAAGGTGTTATTTTTTTTTTTTTAAATAATAAGTATTTTAGACAGGCTTTCACTATGTAGCCTAGGCTGGTACAAACTCAATTTTCTCCTGCTTCAGGAAAGTATTGGGATTACAGGCACGCACCACCACACCCAGGTAAGGTTTGTTATTTGCTCTTACTAAATATATGCACAGGTAACCAGTATTACCCACTTATTGTGCATCTTCCCAAAGAGATCCTAATGCACACACAAGTGAAACCTATATACATGTACTTTTTACATAGATGGTACCATATGTAGCTCATCACAACTGTTCTAAAGACAATTAGAGCCAATTCTTTTCTTTTTTGTCTTTCCTGGGGCCTGAACTCGGCCTGGGCACCGTCCCTCAGCTCTTCCTTCAGCTCAAGGCTAGCGCTCTACCACTTGAGCCACAGTGCAACTTCCGGCTTTTTCTGCTTATGTGGTGCTGAGGAATTGAACCCAGGGCCTCATGCATGCAAGGTAAGCACTCTACCACTGAGCCACCTTCCCAGCCCCTAGAGCGAATTTACTTTCATAGCTTTGTGTGTAAAGGCATTTAATATATGCTCGAGTACTCCTTCTATGGCATACACAGTGGGCCTTCACTTTACTATAAATAGTTTTTCTATATTTTCTCACTTAATCTTCAGCACAATTTTACAAGTCAAGCCAATTTAACACCGGCCATTCTTCACTAGTAGAGTAGAAGACTGAAGATCTGTGATTTTAAATAGTTTATTCCAGGCCTCAGAGCTGATAGGGACTGTGCTGGAATAACCAGAATCCAGGTCTATCTCCAAAGCTCAGGCACTTTATACTTCACCATTCAGCTTTTCTTCCCCCACCACTATCATTTTCCATCGTGGTCTTTATACTGCACTTAGACTCGTCATTAATTTAAACGTCAGTGAGCTCAGGACACCCTACACTAGCAAACGGGAAGGGAGAGTGGAAGCGAGAAGTGAGTTTCACCTATTGGCGAAGCGCGGCCCCGAGCCGAGGAGCACCGAGGACGTCGGGCGTGCCTCCCCTGTGGATGGATTTCCACTCAAGCCCGCGGAGCCGGCGGAGGGGCGGGGGCGTCCCCGCCTGGCGTCTACCGAGTCCAGAGGATGCCTCCGCGGGCTCGGCTCGCCCCGCGGCTCGGGGCCTACGAGGCGCGACCGTCCGCGGAGCCCCGTGACGCCACCCTGGCAAGACTCCTCTCCGGATCCCTCCACTCACCTTCTTGATGTTGGATTTGGAGGCGGGGTGGAAGTCCTTTTTGCACATGAAGTTAGCGAAGGACTTCCCCATCTTGAAGTCCGAGCGAGGGAAGCCAGCTGCCGGAGGAGAGCGACGTAAACAAACTCTGCCGCCTAGTAGGAACTGCACCGCCAGCTGCAGCGAGAACTTCCGCGGTCAAAGGTGACAACTTCCGGCAACTGGTGCCTCCACTCCCTCCCCTTTCGGCTGTCACTCCAGCGAGTTCAGAGGCCTGAGTAAGGGCCTCTGTGCGCGAGGGGAGGGTCGTGCGCGGCGGGGGAGGGTCGTGCGTGGGAGGAGGGACGTGCGTGAGGGCGGGGCTTGCGGAGTTGAGGTACGGATTCTGCGGGCGGGCTCCGGGGTGGTGGCGGAGCTCTTGTGGGCTGCTGGGCGTAGCTGCGCCAGTTGCGTTGTGAGCGCCGCCTGCAGGGTGCGGGGTCCCGCGGGGTGCGGGGGTCCCGCGGGGTGCGGGGTCCCGCGGGGTGCGGGGGTCCCGCGGGGTGCGGGGTCCCGCGGGGTGCGGGGTCAGCCTGATGGCCAGTACCTGCGGGCTTCAAGTGTAAGCCTGGGTTGCTAGTAGCTCTGACATCAATTGCAACATCTTTTCTCTACGGCTTTGCTCCTGTTGTGTGGAGATGGTCACTTTTGTCCTACCCTTAGTCCCCAGGTGAGGTTTCCCCAAAGCATTTGAATAAAAGTATATAAAGTAGAAGGGGATTTCCTCAGGGTGAGGCCCTCGTTCGTTCTCAATAGTACGGTGGCTTGTGCAGAAATTCAATAAATGTCTGTTGAATGGTAAATACTCGTTGGGTGGGGCGGTCAAAGTTTCACCTCGCTAGTGGCTAGCCACCCCCCCCTCCCCCCCCCCCCCCCCCCCCCCGGCCCAACTGAGCGGCAAGTTCCTTACCCCCGTTAGTTCTGATTACCAAGGCGCATATCATGACCTTTGGGTCTCCTTAGATGACCTTTACGTCACCAGTGGTTGTAGTTTTTATTTTTATATATTTTTGATTTTTTTAGGTCTTTGTTTTGTTTTGTTCCATGATGCTAAGGTTTGAACTCAGGGCTTCGTGTTTGCAGGTAGGAAGAGCTCTACCATTGAGCCACACCCCTGCTCAAGTCTACAGGTTTTGAGTGAAGGTGGTACTAATACTCTGTGGGATCCACCAACCAAATTCTCTAACTGGGAAGAATTTAAGAATAAACCTTAGCTGGATACAGGTGATTCACAACTGCAATTATAGCTATTTAGGAGGTTGAGATCTAGAATACTGGGGTTCGAAGTCATCCTGGACAGAAAAGACTGGGAAGTCTTCATCTCCAAAATAGCCAGTAGGAAGCTGAGCTGGAGGCACGATTCAAGTTGGTAGCACATCACCTGAGCAAGTTGGAGGTTCTGAGTTAAAACCTAATAATACCAGCCCTTCTCCTCCCCTAAGGAATAATTCATTTGTTGAGGAATTTACTCTCACAATTTGAGGGCTCTACTATGTTATGGCTTGTTGGATTCTCCTAATAGACCACATTAGACAGGTTTTTTTTTTAATTGATGAGGTTGGAAACAGAGGAATTATGTAGCCTGTCAAAAGTATGTATTGCAGGAACTAACTGGATAAAAGAGCCAAGATGGAATGGTTGAAATACACTCAAAAATGAACAGAAAGAATTCTAACCTCTTTTCTCATCATAAGTTCAATGGTAGCAACACAAATATTAATAAAAATTATTCCTACCTCTCAAGGATCTTACTGTCTAGCAAAGGGATGCATGTAAGTACACAAATATAGTAGACTATATAGCCTTTACAACACTATATTAGGTGTAGAGATCCCAAATATAGAAATAGTGAAAGGAATTAAGAGAAGATTTAAGGAGAAAAAGTTGTTAGAGCAAATTTGTCCTGTAAACAAGAAGAAGGTACTCTTCATTACCCATTTTTGTATTGATTGGTGTGTTTGATTGACTCCTGTGTTTTTGTTTTTTTTTTTTTGTCAATTGAGGGCTGGAACTCAGGGCCTGAACTCTGTCCCAGAGCTTTTTCATTCAAGGCTAGTGCTCTACTACTTTGAGCCACAGCTCCACTTCGGGATTTTTGGTAAATTATTGGAGATGAGAGTCTCACAGACTTTCCTGCCCCAGCTGGCTTCAAACTGTGATCCTCACATCTTAGCCTCCTGAGTAGTTAGGATTGAAGTTGTGAGCCATCAGTGCCTGGCTTCTGTCATTCCTTTTACTTTTTAAAAATTTTAACTGTAGTATATGATATTTAAAATTTTAATGAACACTATTAGATATGACAATAATACCCTTTAGTTATAGAGGAAAACTGTTTTGTGTATACTTACAATGTTTTCTCTTTTTATTTTGAAATTTCCATATGATTTTTATTTCAGAATGGAGCCTTGTTCCTGTGACTCATTTGTGGCATTACCGCCTGCAACCACTGATAATAGGATTATTTTTGGAAAAAATTCAGATAGACTCTGCGATGAAGTACAAGAGATAGTTTACTTTTCAGCTGCAGTTCATGATAATTTGGGAGAGCAGCTTAAGGTAGGTGAAATACATGTCTTCTTAGCAATTTCTTTAGAAGTATAATAAAAATATTCTTATCATTAGCTACCAATTGGCAGAAGACTATAGAAGCTAAAATTCAAGAATTTAAATTTGAAAAAGAATTTGAACAGAATATAGAGTTCTGCCTTCTATTTCAAAAATTTAGAAGTTAGAATAACAATAAAATTGTTAACTCTTTAATCAATGCTTTTTCAATTTCAATGCTTTTTACAATGTTTTAATATGTAATTATATTAGATAAGAAGGGATTTTAAAGTCAGCTGATAAGACTTAGACAATGTTTTATAGACAATGTCTTATAGGAGCCTGTCTAGGAATAGGCTATATTTACAACCAATCCCAGTCTAAAGTTGAGGAGTTAGCATGCTGGGGGTGGGAGGCATTTACTTCAGACTAGGGATCAAGAATGTTTGACTTGGGGTTTCATTTTAGATAGATAGGAAGGATTTTCATTGGTGTAAAATATTTTAAGGTTGATACCTTTATTATTGAAAATTTTGATTTATTTACCCCCTTCATAATGGCCATATCTTCAGAATGATGTTTTAAATTCTGAGTTTAGATAACTTCTTTTTTTAGTTTTGTGGTTATCATATAACTTTTTCTCTTACAGTGTACTTACATAGAAATTGATCAAGTTCCTGAGACATATGCTGTTGTTCTCAGTCGTCCAGCTTGGTTGTGGGGAGCAGAAATGGGAGCCAATGAGCATGGAGTTTGCATTGGGAATGAAGCTGTATGGGGAAGAGAAGAAGTTTGTAGTGAGGAAGCACTACTAGGCATGGACCTTGTCAGGTTATATTTTTTCACTATACAATTTGTCTAAATTTAAATTTTGGTATAACTTACCCAGTTTATTTTCCTACTTTCTCTCTTTTGGCTTTTATACTTTGCAGTTTATGTAAAAATGCTTCAGAGTACCAGCATGAACTTCTAGACTCTCAAATATTATTAATTCAGAGAAGAGAATTTAGAAATGATGATTCATTGGAAGTGCCTAATGTGCTTTATCAAAAGTTTAACTAAATCTCATAATAGCCTCATAGAGTATATATTATTAACCTCAATGAGGTTAATAACAGAGATAAAGTAATTTGCTAATAAATTATCAGGATGGAGTTTGAACATATGACTTCAAAAAACTTGACTCCAAAACATTTATTGGCTTCTAAGCTTTTTTTTCATAATACCAAAGTGACTTCAGAGGAAAAGTTTAAAGGTTAGATTTCATTTTATCTGTTAACTTGAAGGATATTTTACTTTGAATGTGAAGCAAAGTCTCAAAATTAAAACTTCAATATTTTTCTTTTAGACTTGGCCTTGAAAGAGCTGATACAGCTGAAAAAGCCCTCGATGTCATCGTTGATTTACTAGAAAAATATGGCCAGGGTGGAAATTGTACTGAAGGAAGGATGGAGTTTAGCTATCATAACAGTTTCCTAATAGCTGATAGGAAGGAAGCCTGGATTCTGGAGACTGCAGGGAAGTTCTGGGCAGCAGAAAAGATACAAGGTATGGAAAACTCTGTGCGGAGCTTTGGGCTATTCTACAGTGCTTTTCATTTTTCAATAACCTATTACCATTTCTTTCTTTTAAAACTTTTAACTAAATTCTAAAGTTGTATCATGAGGAAGTATTGGGGGCGAGGGAAAGCAGACTTTGACTAGCATGGGTGTTTGAGTGTTGAGGGTTAAAAGGGTGGAGGTGTGGGTATATGTAGTACTAGGAATTGAACCTAGGGACTTAACAAGCCTCTATGTCTTGAGCCAATACTCCAAGTGCTCCCGTACCCCCACCCATTTTGCCATGTTGCATTTCATTTTTTTCCCACAAGGTTAAAAAGTATCTATTAAGAAGAAAACATCTATTTGTCAACTACTATATATAATAAATACATGTACTTTCCTAGAGTATAATTTAATCTTCCCTCTATAGTTACCTTCTTCCTCAGTCAAAACATAGGAAACCAACTTTGTCTCGATATTACTAATCTTAAACCATTTCTATTTTCAATAAAGAAGGGCTATACAATGTCTCAAATATTTCATTTTTGAGATATAGTCTCATTCACTTTGGGCTGGTCTTAAACTGATACTCCATGCCTCTGCCTCCTAAGCACCTGAGATTACAAGCATGTTCCACTATGCCTTGCCTAGAAAGGCATTACAATAGTAGATATATAATTTGTCATTGAGTAAAAGAATATAATTTGATTGGGAATTCTTTTCTCGTGATGGCTTCTTTATGATCCTGAATTACTTTCAATAATTTTCAAATGGTGATATCCAGAGATATGAAATAATTTTAGGTAGTGGTGTGAAAAACTTTTAACTTTTCCTCCTAATTATTAGTTCAGGGTTCTTTTACTAGAGCATAGCCTTTTATTCAAGTATAATAATTTGTTTCTTGTGTACTTACCTCTTTGACCTCCTAGTTTTACTAGAGGAATAAGTTACATATGTAAAAGGTTACATGGTACATGACAATGTACATGACAGATGGAGGCTATGAACTTTAGAGAAAGGAAAGGTAATCATGAGCTGGCAGAGTTCAGAAAGGCATCATAAAGCTGTGGAAGATTTGGATATATTTTTCACAATAGGTCATTGTCAGTTATTTCTTAACGATTTAAAAATATTTTGCTTTATACATTCATTTTACATATTCTATTTTATAAAATAAATAATATATGAAATTAAGTTTAACCTATTATCCTTGTTGGTCTGGTTATCAATGAGAACTTTTATTAAGTGTGTTGCATGAAAGAGAAATGAGTAAACATTTTGTTGAAAAGGTCTTACCTGATCATGCAAGATGAACATTTGCATTGAGTCTAATTATCTTGTTGTAGATGAATTTTGCCATTGTTCTCTCTATTACTAAATGAACCCAAGAACTAAATTGTTGTGAATGTCCTCAGCACAAAGAAGTAATTTATACCTGAATGGTAAATATGCCAACTACAACATAATCTGATCATTATACATTGTATTGTTCATGTAGAAATGCCACACTATATGACATAGTATGTTTAATACTATGTATCAGTTAAAATGTATATATATTAATTTTAAAAAGCATGAACTTGTTAAACTATGGAGAATTATCTATTAGATGCAAAACTCCTGCTTGTTGTTCTGATTCTGCTATGACTCCTTTTGTTTTTATAGTAAGAATATCCCAAGTATGACTTTATTAGAGTGATAATTGATTTGACCTTAACAGACTATCATTTTAATCAGTTTTAAAACCCTGTCATTTATCATCTGCATTATCTATTATCACTTTAGAACAGGCTTTCATATTTTGTATTTTAGTTGAAAATTTTTTTCAAGCTTAGTGCCATAATATTTTTGGGATTCTAATATTTTGTTTTAAACTTATTTATGATTGTATTTTAAAAAGTAATTCATAGGGAAGAAGACCAGTTAGAATATATAAAGAACCCTCAAAGCTCCACAGTAAGCAATCCAGTTAGAAAATGGGAAAAAGAAAGCACTTGAAGGGACATATAGATACCAAACAAGGGCATGGAATGATGCTTAGCACCATTAGCCATTAGGGAAATGCAAATGAAATCCACATTGTGATATCACTAGACTTTTAGCAAAATGGCAAAAATAAAATAATCATATTACCAGATGATGACAAGATGTGGACTAAATGGTTTATAGATTCCTTACAAAAATTTACAGCCAGCCACTATGGAAACAATTTAGTAATTTCTTAAAAGGATGAGATGTGTAACTAATATAGCAGTTGTACTCCTGTGCACTTCTCACAAATAAATAACAACTTACATTCATATAAAAACCTTGACATAAATATTGATAGCAGCCTTCTCCATAATGGAAACAACTGGAAACAACTTGTCAATGAATGGTTAAATATAACTGTAACACATCTAAACCAGGAGATACTACTTAGCAATAAAAATGAATGAATTGTTGATAGGTATGATAAACTGGATGAATCTTTAAAGAATCATGATGTGTAAAAAAAACGCAGAAGGTTATATATTGTATGATTCCATTTATAAAACATTCTTGAATGACATTTAGAGTAATAGAGACATACTCAAGACTGGATGGAGGCTGGACGCTAGTGGCTCACACCTGTAATCCTAGTTACTCAGGAGGCTGAGATATGAGGATTGAGGTTCAAAGCCAGCCTGGGCAGGAAAATCTGTGAGACTCTTACCTCCAATAAACTACCAGAAATCCAGAAGTGGCACTGTGGTTCAAGTGGTAGAGCGCTCATCTTGAGCTAACGTTCAACATTCTGGGCTGAGGCCCAGAGTTCAAGTCCTACATCTGACCCAAAAAAAAACAAACCAAAAAAACTGGATGGAGTAGGATTTAGAGTGGAAGACAAATGGTTTGCCTATAAAAGGGCCACATGAGGCATCTTTGTCATTGTGGAAGTATTCTTGACTGTATCAATACCAGTATTCTGCTGTGATATTATAGTTTTACAAGATGTTATCAATGAGGGAAACTGAGTTAAGTATCTCTCTGTATTTCTTATAACTGCATGTGAACCTAAAATGATCCCAAAGAGTTTAAATTTTAAAATGTATTCATCTTTTAGAATATATAAGAAATATGGCTAGCACAAAATTTACAAGTATGTATTTGCATTTAAATAGTGGTTAAGAATTATAATGACTTTATGCTAAATGTATTTTTCCCTTCCCTTCCTTCTTTGAAATTAGAGGGCATTCGTAATATTTCTAACCAGCTTTCTATAACAACCAAGATTGATCGGGAGCACCCAGACTTGAGAAAATATGCTAAGCAGAAAGGTTGGTGGGATGGTAAAAAGGAGTTTGATTTTGCTGCAACATATTCTTACCTTGACACGGCCAAGATGACGACTTCACCAGGCAGATACTGTGAGGGCTACAAGCTTCTGAATAAACACAAAGGTAATTCTAGTATCCAAATAATACCAGAATAAAGTTTGTATAGTTATTATATAGGAGTGATAAAATCTATTTTGAAGAATTTGCACTAAGTATAAATATTTATATTTAAAGTGAATTTCTTCACGAATTTGTGTCATCTTTGCACTGGCACCATGCTAATCTTCTCTGTATCATTCCAGTTTTAGTATATGTGCTGCCGAAGCAAGCACTAAAGTGAATTTCTTGTAGAAAGCCTGTATTTGGGTCTTGATTTTGTTGTAGTATAGCCATTCTGATAAATTTTATCTTTTAGTTAGAATGTATAATTCTCTAGCATTTAATGTAGGCTGGTTCCACGTAAGAGAGTAAGGGCATACTATGAAGTCTTTCTGAACATAAGTAAAATCTTAGAAGAGATGCACAGAGAAACTTTCTGAAGACTCATAAAAATATAAGATATAAGACAGAAAGGGAAAGAAACCAGAACTCAAAGTAGAAAAGCAAAGTTCAGTTGTGGTAAATTACATGTTTTGGGTTTTTTTTCTCCCTTTCTTTGGTTTCAAAAAATATCAGTCCTAGAGCTGTGCACTGGGTATGGAAAGAAAGAGCTCTAAAAAGCCCCTTTCTGGTATGAGGAAAGGGGAGGTAGGCTCCAACATACAAAACAGGGAAATTCCCAGTTATCCCTTTTGTTTTGCCTTGCTTTTTTATTTCTTTCTTATTCCAGGTCCTAAATAACTTGTTGTCCTAAAACTTCAATTCAAAAATGTAAATTTGGCTGAGCCCCTTTGGCTTACACCTGTTATCCTAGCTACTCAGGAGGATGAGATCTGAGGACCACAGTTAGAAGCCAGCCCAGGCAGGAAACTCCACGAGACTTTTTTTTGGGGGGGGGGGGGGTCCGGTCGTGGGGCCTGAACTCTGGGCCTGGGCGCTGTCCCTCAGCTCTTCAGCTCAAGGCTAGCGCTCTACCACTTGAGCCACACAGTACCACTTCCGGCTTTTTTCTTATGTGGTGCTGAGGAATTGAACCCAGGGCCTCGAGCATGCAAGGCAAGTGCTCTACCACTGAGCCATCTTCCCAGCCCCTCCACGAGACTTCTATCTCCAATAAACTACTCAAAAAAGCCAGAAGTGGCACTGTGTCTCAACTGGTAGAGTGCTTGCCTTGAGCAAAAGAAGCTCAGGGACAGTGCCCAGGCCTAGAGTTCAAGCCCCAGAATTGGCAAAAAGAAAAGAAAAGAAATCAATGGAATGCTATGAAAAATAATGCTTACAAGGAAATTTACAGCATTGAATACTTATATTAGACAATAAAAAAGTCAGTATTATAGTTTTCTACTTAACAAACTTTAGAAAAAAGAAAAAGGAGAGAAATCTCAAGCAAGGATAAGGAAGGAAGCTTAAATAAAGAAAGGACTCAAAATCAATAAAGTTGTTAACAAAATAATAATAGAGAAAATTGGTCAAGCCAAAAGCTGATTCTTCAAAAAGATGGGCAACAGTTGATAAACTCATAAGCTAATAAAGAGAAAAAGAAGACACAAATTACTAGTATCATGCGTAAAAGAGCAATTGTCATAAATCTCACAGACATTATGAAAATCATAAAGTAATGCTACAAAGGCTTTATGCTGAATAACTCAAAGGAAATGAACTTATTTCTTCAAAGCACAGACCATCAAAACCTAATTTGAAATAGTTTAACTCTTGTTTTAGCAAACAAATATTTTAAATTAAAATATTGATTTTTTTTCCAGAGAATAAACAGTTTGGCAACTCAAATTTCAATCAGTCAGTTTTTGTTTTGTTTTGTTTTTTGGTCATGGAGCTTGAATTTCTTTTGTTTTTGGTCAGTTGTAGGGCTTGAACTTTGGGCCTGGACATTTCCCTCAGATCTTCAGCTCAAGACAAGCACTCTACCACATGAGCCACACTGCCACTTCCAATTTTCTGATGATTAATTGGAGTGAAGAGTTTCATGGACTTTTCCTGCCAGGGCTGGCTTTGAACTGTGATCCTTATATCTCAGCCTCCTGAGTAGCTAGGATTACAGACATGAGCCACCAGCACCTGGCCGCTTCTACTTTTCTAGTGGAATTGGAGATGAGAGTTTTACAAACTTTCCTGCCCAGAAAGTCTAAACGGAGATGCTCAGCTTCCTGAGTAGCTGGGATTATAGATGTGAGCCACCAGCACATAGCTCAGGTTTTTTTGTTTTTTTTTAATCCTAGCTAAATTGTTATTATTCAGAAGCAGATGGAGATTTAGGCGCTTTATAGAACTTAGGGACTCTCTTCCTTGACTCTCCCCTTTATGTTGGAACACTTCAACATAATTTTTCTTTTGGGAAGTACTAGGATTTGAACTCACAGCTTTACATTTGCTAGGGAGGCACTCTACTGTTGATCCATTTTTTTTTTTGGTTGGTTGTGGGGCTTGAATTCTGGGCCTGGGTATTGTCCCTCAGCTCTTCAGCTCAAGGCGAACCCTCTACCACTTGAGCCACAGCACCACTTCCGGTTTTCTATTGGTTTATTGGAGACAAGACACACTTTCTTGCCCAGATGGCTTTGAACCACAATCCTCAGAACTCAGCCTCCTGAGTAGCTAGGATTACAGGCGTGAGCCACCGGCACCTGGTTGTTCAGCCATTTTTTAGTACTTATTTTTTAGTTCTTTTGAGATAGCAATTCACTTTTTGCTTAAGCTTGTGCCTGGGTTTTGATTCTCCTATTTTATGCTTCCAGCTCTAGTTAAGATGACAAGAGTGGAGTACCACCATGTCCAGCTTTTCCTTCAAGATATTCTTGTGATCTCTTTTGTCCAGGCTGGCCTGGAATCATGGTTTTTCTGATCTCAGCCTTCCATGTAGCTGGATGACAGGTTTGTGCCACTGTGCTTAGCTACTGGTTGAGAAAGGGTCTTACTAACTTTTTGCCCAAGATGGTCTCAAACTGTGATTTTCTTGATCTTAGCCTCTCACATAGCTAGAATTAGACATGAGCCACTACACTAGCTTTTATAGAGTAACTTTTCTCCTTTTGCTACCAAGTAATTCCAGCAAATGAGTTTATATTCCTAAATGTCTGATAATTTCTAAAAGGGTAATTCTACTAATAAAAACATGACTGATATACCCTCATACATTGGATGGATTAAAGGTTCTATAAATCAATTAGGAAGCATCTATTAAAATATGGATTAGTGAGTGATTGCTATTTGCCTATCAGGCATTATGAAACAAATGAGAGGGTTTTTTTGTTTTTGTTTTTGTTTTTTGGTTGGCTGTGGGGCTTGAACTCTGGGCTTAGTGCTATCCCTCAGCTCTTCAGCTCAAGGTGAGCGCTCTACTGCTTGAGCCACAGCGCCACTTCCAAATGAGAGTCTTATAATAGTTATTTACTGCGGTAGAAAAGGTTCATGATAAAATATTTGTAGAAGCTCAGAATTACTAGAGAAAAAAAGGAGCAGAGGGGAAGGAAAAGGGAGGGAAAGGAAAAAGGGAGGGGACAAGAGGATCTATTTTTAATACTAGTTGGTTGACCATACATATTTTTTTCTTCTCTCCAAAACTGTACAATAACTGAGGCTAGATATACTTCACTGGTAGATCATAGGCTAATCATACATGAGGCCCTGGATTAGCCCACAAAGACAAAGAGTATATAAAAAGCATAATCCTTCCATCCCCCTGATAATCTGATGATTTAATAATAAAGAAAAGGCTCACATCTATATCCAAATTATAATAATCTACAGGTCTTTCATCAATTAATTATGTAAAACTATCAACTATTCTATATTATGGTAATGAGTTTATAAAAGTATATGCATATCTAATTTCTCCATATATCTCCATGACTTTGAATTCAAGAAAAATAAGTCACTGAATTAATGGATAACTTGTTATAAGAAATTCTATCTTTCTGTTAATTTTGAAAAACACTGGGAGAACTAAAAAGGAATATTTCTAAAAACAGCTATGAATATTAAAACTCAACAATAAATCAAAATCTTACCATCCATACCTACCTATCCAATACATAGCTTCAATATCTAGTGAGATTTAAAAATGATTCAAGTCTAAACTCCTATAAATGGCAAGTTTTAATAAAAACAGTGTCTGAACCATAACACTGTGATAATACAGGTATTATAAAAATGCTTTTGGCATTCAAAACCTACAATTCTGAAAATGAAAGGAGGATTTACATGATCACTTGAGTAGGATGGCTATAAGTAATCCACTAGCAAGCATTGAATAAGTACTGAGACTACAATGGCAGGGTTCAGTAAAATGAATGCAAAATACAGGTTGCAATTTCATTGCAATTTAAACTAGTTATTTAAAATACATGAGTGAATAGAAATACAATTTGGATATACATGCAGCACAGTTAATAGCTATCAGGTAGGGATAGTTGGAAAGGAGAGAGGTAGGCTCATCTTACCTAGAAAAATCATAGGAAAAATTAACCATAATGTACTAGTAGACAATTTTCTGTGAAAGTATTGGAAAGACATTCTTTCGGCGAAACACAGAGAGCTAGATAAACTGTACTTCACACTTGGAAAAAATAGACTTGTTGAATACATCCATTACTATAATCTTGTGTGCATTTCAAATCTGTGATTCAGTTATTTTGTAGTTAAACATAGAATTAATTATGTCAATATAATGGTAATCAATTTGTCCAAAATTACCCTAAACATTAGGATTCTTGTTGTGTTCCACATTATTCGTATCCATTACCCCCCTCCACCCCCCAAACCACCATACCTTTTTCTTTTCCCTACCCCTGAGCTATACCGTAAGTCCTTTATCTGCTGAACTCAGGATCGGGCTTGTATCACAGTCTGGTGGCTTGCTGAGCCTCTCCTGACTCCTCATTTTCTCTCACAGGCATTTTCCCCTAAATACTGTGGGCTCTGATATAGTAATGAGTCCCAGAACTCTGGAGGCTGGTTCAGTGAGTTTGAAGCCTGCCACCCTGGACTACATAGGCCAGCCTTGAGCTCAAGGCAATCAAACAAAATGCCTTTGCATTGACTTCGATGTTGTGCATCTGCTTCTCAGGATCATAGCACAAAAGATAGGAGGCAATAGCTGGAACTAAGTACTGTAAAGTCCTTACATTAACTGATAAATGGAAAATGACTCTTAAAATTTTTTTTTTTTTGGTAGTACTGGACTTTGAGCTCATGGCTCCCCCTCCCCCCTTACTAGGCAAGCACTTTATTACTTGAACTGCTCCCTCTACTCTTTTTTTTTGCTTTTAGGAGTGGCCCCAAACTACAATCTTCTCAATCATCTCCAGAGTAGCTGGCATTACAGGCATATAACATTATACCTGACCTTTGGAATTTTTCTTTTTCTTTTTCCTTTTTCTATTTTTTAGTTGGTTGTGGGGCTTGAACTCTGGGCCTGGCCGCTGTCCCTGAGCTCTTCAGCTCAGGGAGAGCCCTCTACCACTTGAGCCACAACACCGCTTCCTGTTTTCTGTTGGTTAATTGGAGATAAGAGTCTCATGGAAGGGCTGGGAAGGTGGCTCAGTGGTAGAGTGCTTGCCTTGCATGCCTGAGGCCCTGGGTTTGATTCCTCAGCACCATATAAGCAAAAAGAAAAAAGCCGGAAGTGGCGCTGTGGCTCAAGTGGTAGAGCGCTAGCCTTGAGCTGAAGAGCTGAGGGACAGAGCCCAGGCCCAGAGTTCAGGCCCCACAACCGGACCCCCCCCCCCAAAAAAAAAAAAAAGTCTCATGGAAGCCAGGCGCTGGTGGCTCACGCCTAGAATCCTAGCTAGTCAGGAGGCTAAGGATCTGAGGATCACGGTTCAAAGCCAGGACAGGTAGGAAAGTCCGTGAGACTCTTATCTCCAGTAAACCACTAGAAAACCAGAAGTGGCACTGTGGCTCAAGCAGTAGAACACTCGTCTTGAACTGAAGAATGAAGGGACGGTGCCCAAGCCCAGAATTCAAGCCCCACAACTGACAAAGAAAAAAAAAGTCTCATGGATTTTCCTGTCCAAGCTGGCTTTGAACTGCAATCCTTAGATCTCAGCCTCCTGAGTAGCTAGGATTACAGGCATGAGCCACCAGCGCCTGGCTTTGGAATTTTTCTTAAGCTATTAATTTGAATTCAAGCTTTTTCTTTACCTCACAAGTGATTAGCCTATGATTCCAGCACCACTTATTAATTATTAATTACTTATATTTTCCCTGCTGACTTGAAAGCTAACCAATTAAATATTGATATTAAATATCAAGTTCCTAGTAGACTTACATATAAATTAGATTTATATGTTTGCTTAGTACAGTATAAGTATACAAAGTAAATATTCAATACTTGTTTTATAAGTTAACGAACAGTGAGTGAATTTACAATTTTTCTAAAATTAATATGACACATACTTCCTTAAAACTGTTTTTGCAGAATTTTCATGGTCATCTATGTATGTTCAGTTTTTCTTTTCTTTCTTTCTTTTTTTTTTTTTTGTCGGTCGTGGGGCCTGAACTCTGGGCCTGGGCACTGTCCCTCAGCTCTTCAGTTCAAGGCTAGCGCTCTACCACTTGAGCCACAGCACCACTTCCGGCTTTTTCTGCTTATGTGGTACTGAGGAATTGAACTCAGGACCTCATGTGTGCAAGGCAAGCACTCTACCACTGCGCCACCTTCCCAGCTCTATGTTCAGTTTTTCAAATGAATTTAACATATTTTTTCAGCTCATCCAAAGAATGTATTATTGAGGTTTGACTGGAATTGAGTTAATAATACAGATTATTTTAAGGAAGAATTGACATTTGATAATATTGCCTTTCTATTGAAGAATAAAAATCAAGTTATGAATTTATTCACATCTTTTTCTGTTTTCTTAGGTAGACTTTATTTTATTTTATTTTTTTGGGTCTGGTTGTGGGGCCTGAACTCTGGGCCTGGGTGCTGTCCCTCAGCTCTTCACCTCAAGGCTAGCACTCTACCACTTACCTCAAGGCTAGCACTCTACCACTTGAGCCACAGTGCCACTTCTGGCTTTTTTTTTCTGCTTATGTGGTGCTGAGGAATCGAACCCAGGGTCTCAGGCATGCAAGGCAAGCACTCTACCACTGAGCCACCTTCCTGGCCCCTTAGGTAGACTTTAACAGCTTTTTTCATCAGCATGTTTTCTACCTTGACTTTCTCTTGATATAGAAATACATTATCAACATTCACTGGGTGGCAGGAAGGGGAACAGATGGCAGCAGACATGAATGATTTGATCTGTGTCTTTCTGGGTTGTAGGGACCAGTCTGGAAGCATAGGTCCAGCTAGTAATCAATGGTATTGTTCACAGTTTCTTTCCTGTTTTTCTGTGGTACTGGGGCTTGAACCCAGGGACTTGTGAAGCTGTGCCCATAGCCCCTTGTTTCTAATTTTTTTTTTAACCACTGTAAATTATGTTTCCATTAGATATATATATATATATATATATATATATATTTATACACACACTATAGGTTTAATTCCTTAAGTCATGAATTTTATAAAACATGCTTTTTAGAGAATGGGTTCATTTTTTCTAAGTTGTAAATTAAATGTATAAAGTTATTTGTAATATTCCGTTATTAGTTTTTGTATATAGTCTGTCATGATTCTATTTAATTCTTGACATTAATAATTTGTAATTTGTGTCTCTTGTCTCTTTTCTTTGCCAGTCTAGCCAGAGGTTTATCAATTTTTTTGATCATTACAAGAGACAACTATTTACTAATGACTTTTTTCAATTTTTCTGTTTGCAATTTATTGATTTCAGTTCTTTATTTCCTTTCTTCTACATGCTTTGGGCTTTATATTTATTTGTTTTCTTTTTGTAGTAAAGTGAGAGCTTAGATTGCTGATTTTCATGTTGACTTATAAGTTTCTCCTGTTATTGTATATTTTTTGCTCTAATTGAATTTGTTAATTTCTATTACAGTTCTTAATTGTTTGCTTTTGGTTATATGAAAATGGTTTTGCATTTATTTAATAGACTTATTTCACTGATGCCTTATTTTAAAAGCTTTGAAATATATATTTTGCAAGAAGATGATGACTTTGAAGCCAGCCTGGGTTACATAGTGAGATAGCAATGGCAACCAAAAAGTATTTTTGTGTCTGTGCTCTTCCTGCTCTAGTCTATCTCAAGAGCTGGAATTATAGATGTGTGCATCATGACCAGCTCTTGGCTCTCATTTTAAATGTATTACTTTGAGTATCTCTTTTCTTTTGATTATGAGAATTTCTTGTTTATTCAAAGGAAAACTTTAAAACGTATTCTGAAACTTCAGGAAAGATTTTCAATTCAGTTGAAATGAGATGAAGGGACTTTACTGTCTCACATACACACATAGATCTCTTCATATATATCTTCATATAGGTACATCTCCAATGCCTGGGATGAGGCTTGACATTTAATTAATATTTTAATAATTAACAAATATCTGAATGAATGAGAACCAGAGAAAAATCTCATCAATGTCTAGAAAACGTATAACCTAAGGACAGACTAGGATCAATATAGCCAAAAGATGAAGCATACTTGTACAGGAGAGGAAAAGGTGGTTTCTATTGAACTTAGTAGTAGGGTTTAATTTCAAAGAATTTTCACTTGATTCAGAAGGAACTGGGAGTGATAAATAGATGACATCTGAGAAGGAGAACAATGCCTTGGAGAACTTCATTGGGTAGGGTGATATTATTTTTTTTTGTCAAAAGGTCAATCTGACCCCCTAATTTGGGTATGGATATGTATAGAAAAGAGCAAAAACTGTCTGAAGATATGAACAACGTTTTAAGATTTTTTGGCTATATTTTCCAAATACTGAATTCTGAAGCTCTCTATAACAGGAGCATAAAATACAATATAATCACACAAAATATTTCAATCATACATAACAGATGTTCATACTTTCAAAGTAGTCCAGCAAAATTGTGCCTATCCAACTTTCACTAACTAATAAAATGCTTTATCTTCTTTATTTCTTTACAAGTTTTAATTCATACTTTTATATACATGTATTAATGTCAAGCACAGAAACTATAGAAAAATTTATTTTGTAAAATAATATCTTGTATAATATTGGAAACAAAAAGTTCATTGTTCTCTTTGTATTGGTCCCCATAGTAGTTATTGGTATCATCAGTTTGTTGCTGACTAAATATGCCTTAAGAAATCCTGTAGGTGCAATAGGATTGACTGTATTTTTGCGCCACTGATTATTTTTAGGAAGTTTTTACCTGTTAGAGAATCTGGGATTTTGTTTTGTTTTGTTTTTCCAGTATCATGGCTTTAACTCAGGGCCTGTCAGTCTTGCTTGGCTTTTTGCTATAGCTGATGTTCTACCACTTTGAGCCACACCTCCAATCCTGTCTATTTTTTATTTAGAAGGAAAAATCTTTCTTGTGACAGTGACATGAGTCTAACTACAGAGTTATTTATGGTCAATGTCTTTATACCTAAACCAATAAATCTTGTTATATGTTATCAGCAGAGAAAGCAATTTGTATTTACAAAGCATAAATATATGCATACATATTTGATAGTTTTACAAATTATTTCCTTAGGAAACATAACTTTTGAAACAATGGTGGAAATACTCCGAGATAAACCAAGTGGCATTAACATGGAGGGAGAATTCCTGACAACTGCAAGCATGGTTTCTGTTTTACCTCAAGACTTCGGCCTTCCTTGTGTTCACTTCTTTACAGGGACTCCTGATCCTGAAAGGTGAAGCCACAAAATTCTGTGAACAAGCAAGAGGAGATAGGATGGGGTAAAATCCTTAGTATACGAATGATTTTGTCAAGCAAATTTTTTTAATTATACAAAGTAATTTTTATATATTTTCTCTTCAGATTTGAGTTTGCAATTCCCACATGTAAATAATTACTCGTTTTTATTTTATGGATAAAGCCAAGAGATTCTTGTATTCAATTATCCCTCCCTCCTTTTTTTTTTTTAATTGTGAAAATACCATACAGAGGGGTTACAATTACATGGGCAAGATAATGAGTACATTTCTTATCAAGCATTGTTGCCTCCTCCTTTGTTTCCCCTTCCCATCCCTTCCCATCTCCCACCCCCACTCCTTTTTCCCACAAATCTATTTAACATTGTAAAGAAAGAACATGTATAAATTTTCTTAGACTTCAGACATTATGACATTAAACAATTAATAATAGTAAACAACTTAAGCCATGTTGTCATGCTAGATTTACTTATGTATTCATATCTAGAAGATACAGACATGGAAAACTTAAAATATAAATAGTTCCAGTTATATTTTAGGACTTTATAGACTATTTTAAATCATTAGTATTTTTTTTTTTTTTGGTTGGTTGTGGGGCTTGAACTCTGGGCCTGGGTTCTGTCCCTCAGCAATTCAGCTCAAGGCTAGTGCTCTAGCACTACACCACTACTGTCACAGTGGCACTTCCTGTTTTCTGGTGGTTAGTTGGAGATAAGAGTCTCACAGACTTTCCTGCCTGGGTTGGCTTTGAACCTTGATCCTCAGATCTCAGCCTCCTGAGTAGCTAGGACCGTAAAGCACCGTGCCTGGCTATCATTAGTATTTTTTTTTAAGCTAAGCATGTTATATGTAGAACTATTTTTACTATCCTTTAGTCTTCCACTTTATTAAAGGTATTTTTTTTGCTGGTCAGTAGACCACACTGTAATCATAGCTATACAGGAGGCAGAAGAGGGAAAATTATGGTAAGATGTCATCATGGGCAAATATGTTTGCAAGGCTCTGTCTCAACCAATAAAGTGCCAAGTGTGGTGGTGCATGCCTGTCATCCCAGCTACATGGAATACCTAAATAGGAGAATTGCAGGCTGGCCTTGGGGGGAGGGGTGGGAAGTAAGTCTATTTGAAAAATATCAGAGGCAGAAAGGGCTAGAGGCAGTCAAGTGGTAATGTGCCTACTAGCAAGTACAAGGCCTTAAGTTCAAACTCCAGTTCAAATTGCCAAAATACGGGCTGGGAAGGTGGCTCAGTGGTAGAGTGCTTGCCTTGCATGCATGAGGCCCTGGGTTCGATTCCTCAGCACCACATAAGCAGAAAAAGCTGGAAGTGGTGCTTTGGATCAAGTGGTAGGGCGCTAGCCTTGAGCTGAAGAGCTGAGGGACAGTGCTCAGGCCTAGAGTTCAGGCCCCATGATGGACAAAAAAAACCCAAAAAAACAAATTGCCAAAATAAATAAATACATTTTCAAGAAAATATAATGAAACTTGTATCCCTTTAGTAACATTGGTGAAAGCCAAGCATAGTGGTTCATATCTTTAATCCCAGCTACTAGGGAGGCTGAGGTAAGAGGATCACAAGCTCCAGTCCAGACATGGCAAAGTTAGTGAGATCCTATCCAAAATAATAAAATGACAAGGACTGAGGGCTTGGCTTGTGTACCAGAGCACTTATCTAACAAGCATGGGACCCTGGGTTTAGTCCTCTGTACTACAAACAAAGAAAACAAAACAAACACTTCAATCTTTCAGACAAAACATAATCTTCATTTTAAAACATCTAGGATTGTTCTTGCCTTGCAGAATGCCAAACTACTAGTTCACTGGTACTATTTATGCCCTAAGCTCTGTGTTAGATCTATGAGAATGCAAAGCTGAGTAAAGCTTTATCCCCTTCCCTAAATGGGATTCAAGTGTATTAGGGGAGAGGGTATGGCAGGAACAACTGACTGTCATTAGTAAACATTTCTAATTGGTGGGAATCTTCAGAATAATGCTGAATATAATTGTATATTTTGATATGCCAATTTTTCCAGGTCTGTTTTTAAGCCCTTTGTATTTGTGCCATGCATTTCACAACTATTGGATACCAGTTCACCAACATTTGATCTTGAAGATCAGGTTAAAAAGAAACCACACTGCAAGCCTGACAGAAGACACCCACTCTACCAAAAACATCAGCAGGCATTGGAAGTAATACTTAATAATGAGGTATGAGTAATTATATTAATCATTATATCATTAAGAATAATTTGTGATTTGATCCATAGTTTGAATTTTGGAGTATTAGGGTAAAAACAAATGGGCTTAAAAATAATTTAGAAGCCAGGTGCCAGTAGCTCACACTTGTAATCCTAGCCCTCAGGAGGCTGAGATCTGAAGACTGAAGGTTGAAGCCCCGGCGGGAAAGTCTGTGAGACTCTTATCTCCAATAAACTACCAAAAAGCCAGAAATGAAGCTGTGGCTCCAGTGGTAAAGCATTAGTCTTGAGCTAAAAAAGTTCAGAGATAGCTCAGGACCAGCCACACACACACACACACACACACACACACACACACACACACACACACACACACACACACACACACACACACACACACACACACACACACACACACACACACACACACACACACACACACACACACACACACACACACACACACACACACACACACACACTTAGCTACTCAAATTATAGTGACTATATTACTTTTTTTGTCTTTTGTGGGGCTTAAACTCTGGGCCTGGGTGCTGTCCCTCAGCACACACACACACACACACACACACACACACACACACACACACACACACACACACACACACACAGAGAGACAAACTTAGCTACTCAAATTATAGTGACTATATTACTTTTTTTGTCTTTTGTGGGGCTTAAACTCTGGGCCTGGGTGCTGTCCCTCAGCTCTTCAGCTCAAGGCGCTCTACTACTTGAGCTACAAGCCACTTCCGGTTTTCTGGAGAGAAGAGTTTCACAGACTTTCCTGCCCAGGCTGGCTTTGAACCATGATCATCAGATCTCAGCCTCCTGAATAGCCAGGATTACAGGTGTGAGCCACCGGCACCCGGCTGACTATATTACTTTTTATCTTTGGTTCTTTTAGAGAATTTAGTGTATTAAACATAGTAACAATAGCTAGAAGTTATTGAGCCCTTGTTATATCCCATTTCTTTTCATTTAATGTTCCCAAGTGCTTATTAAGACAGGTGCTATTATCATTCTCATTTTCCTGACAGGAATTTGAAACTAGGATTGGGTAAGAGTTTGCTTATTATATATCACACATCAAAAATTACAAAGCCTGGGCTGGGAAGGTGGCTCAGTGGTAGAGCGCTTGCCTTGAATGCCTGAGGCCCTGGGTTCGATTCCTCAGCACCACATAAGCAAAAAGAAAAAAGCCGGAAGTGGTGCTGTGGCTCAAGTGGTAGAGCGCTAGCCTTGAGCTGAAGAGCTGGACAGAGCCCAGGCCCAGAGTTCAGGCCCCACGACCAGACCAAAAAAAAAAAAAAAATGACAAAGCCTCTGAAGTGTACTTACCCTGGGCTTGTTCTTAATCCTGCAGCTCTGACTAAAATTAATTGAAAGTGCTTTAAAAAAAATCTCATAGACTTTTTCAGTTGTAGTTGTTTATTTTGTTGATCTTTTTTTTTTTTTTTACAAAGATAAGAAAGAATCTTAGTGTAGTTTTAATTTGCATGTCCTTTATGGCAAGATCCCATACACTTACAATAATGAGTTATATGTCTATAATGACATGTGCATATTATTTACAAACTGTAAGCATTATAGAAAAGCAATACATAATTCAAAATTTAATCCTCAGGAATATATAGGTATATTTATTTTCTGTCATAAGTTGATTTTTCTTTTATTGGATGTATTAGGTTTGAACTCAGGACATCACGCTTAAGGCTGACTCTATTTGAGTCATGTCTTCAGCCCTGGGGCTTTTGGTTGGTTATTTTAGAGATTAAGTCTAGAAATTTTTCTGCCTGGCCTGACCTTGAACTGCTGTCCTTTAGATCTCAGCCTCCTGGGTAGCTAGGATTATAGGCAAGAGCTACTGGCACCAGAATTATATATATATATATATATATATATATATATATATATAATGTATTATATATTATAATATATATTATGTATAATATATATCACATCATACCTCATCATTGCTCCCTAGCCCTTCGTCCTCTAACACCAGGGGAGGGGGAGTAGATAAGAAAATGAAAGGCTGTGTAAAGAGTCCCTACAATGAAGAAAAAGATTAACCATTTGTCTTTTCTTACTTATTTCTATCACCTGCTTATTTTTGTTTGCCTATATCTCTACTTTGTCAGGATGTATAAATTTACATTCTGTCTACATTTAAGTGAACTAAATTAAGTTTCCTTCAGGTAATTATTTATTAATGCCTGTAGCATGTTTGTTGCCATACCTTTTATTCTCTTTACTATTTTGCTTACACTTAAGGAAAGAGCTCTTACAGACTTAAAATTTGCTAAGAATTCTTGATGCTGCTCTTTGTTTTCACTTCAGAACTCAGTCTAACACTCTTGTAGGTTTGTTGGTGTGAATGGGGAGCAAGCACTAGCAGCCGCTTTAGCATGCTAACTGTGGTCCACTGGGCTACTGGTATTGTCCATCTCCATTGCTTAGCTCATTCTCCAAACTCTGTAGTGAAAACAGTAAGCCGCTGGTTCTCTGATTTTTGTGAAAGTCTCTTAGAGATACTATTGCAGGAGATTCTACTCTTTGAGCAGTCTCCGTACAGCCTTCATTGCTTATAACAGCTTAAAGTTTTCAGCAATTTTGTCCTCCCATAATACTGTTTCTGGGAGGCAAGTTTTTTTTGTTTTGTTTTGTTTTTGTCAGTTGTGGGGCTTGAACTCTGCGCCTGAACACTGTCCCTCAGCTCTTTAGCTCAAGGCCAGTGCTCTACTGCTTGAGCCACAGCACCTCTTCTGGTTTTCTAGTGGTTTATTTAAGATAAGAATCTCACGGACTTTCCTGGCCAGGCTGGCTTTGAACCGTGATCCTCAGATCCTCAGCCTCCTGAGTAGCTAGGCTTATAGGCGTGAGTCACCGGTGCCCGGCTTGGGAGGCAAGTTTTGTAATTAAATAGTTCAATGTTTGTTAAAATCAATTGCTAAATATTTTAATATTGAAATAAAAACTTGAACATGTTTACTATGAAGCGGCACTGCTGATTGTCAGTGTAAAAGTAGTGGGGAAGATGATAGAATTTGAAGGAAACATCAATGATCTGGATTCTAGTTCTGACCCCATAAATAACTACTTTACATTTAGATACTCCTACTGATAGTTTTAATTTTCATTTCTTGATTACTACTGCGATTGGTAATCATCTGTGCTTATTGGTCATATTTCTTCTTAAATGAGTTGGCTAATTTTTTCCTTAGCTTATTTCTGAATTGATTCTGGGTCAGATTCTGAGATATTCGTGTGTGTGTGTGTGTGTGTGTGTGTGTGTGTGTGTGTGTGTGTGTGTGTGTGTGTGTGTGTGTGTGTAAATTAGATTGTTTTATTCTATTTTATTGAGAAGGGATTTTTGTTATACTGCCTAGCCTGACCTCAAAATCCTGGGCTCAAGTAATTCCCTTGTCTCAGTCTCCAAGTAGCTGGGTCTACCAGTGTATACCATCCTGCTCAGCAGAATTTTAAATCTCAGTTTGTTGGCTGACATTTAACTTTTTCTGGCAGATAAAAAATTTAAATTTAGCCTGGCACTGGTGGCTCATGCCTGTAATCCTAGCTACTCAGGAGGCTGAGATCTGAGGATCACCGTTTAAAGCCAGCCCCAGCAGAAAACTCCCTGAGACTCTTATCTCCAATAAACCACTCAGGAAACCAGAAGTGGCACTGTGGCTCAAGTGGTAGAGTGCTCTCCTTGAGCTGAAGAGCTGAGGGATAGCACGCAGGCCCAGAGTTCGAGCCCCATGATCACCTTGTTTTCCAAAGTTAAATTATTTTAATACTATATATAGAACAATTTTATTTCCCCCACTAATATGAAATTAGTATTCTTCAAGGAAAAATGCATACAATTTCATATTTAAGTTTATGTGAAGAATCTTTGTGGCATTCTGCCCATAATGGTACAAGCTTTTTTTTTTTTTTGGTCGTGGGGCTTAAACTCTGGGCCTGAGTGCTATCCCTCAGCTCTTCAGCTCAAGGCTAGTGCTCTATCACTTGAGCCACAGCGCCACTTTTCTGGTGGTTTATTGGAGATAAGAGTTTCATGGACTTTCCTTCCCGGGCTGGCTTTGAACCACGATCCTCAGATCTCAGCCTCCTGAGTAGCTAGGATTACAGGCGTGAGCCACCAGCGCCTGGCATGGTACAAGCTTTTTAAACTTATATATATTTTATAGTAACTGCTTTCATATACATATACACACAAATATAGATATATATACATATATATTTATTTGTTTTCTTTTTTCTCTAGACCCTCAATGTGATAATTAAATTTGTTAACAATTTTTGATTGTTCCTTTTTGTGTTCAATGTGGCTCAGAGGTAGAGCACTTGCCTAGCATAAACAAGGCTCTGGATTCAGTTCCCAGTATCCCCACGTCCCCCCAAACCCACATTGCTGCTTTCTGTAAGAACCACAGACATTTTTCTCCCATACTTGAAATAACAGATAAGTCATAGAAAAAAGTGTCATTTTTGGAAGTGGCACTATGGTTCAAGTGGTAGAATGCTAGCCTTGAAGAGCTCAAGGCCCAGAGTTCAAGCCCCACAACTAACAAAAAAAGATATTTTAATAGCTTTTTCTCTTAAACATTACTGTTTTGTTTCCTTAATTTGCAACGTAGAAGATCTAAATTCACAAAAATATCTTTTAGCAAATTTGCCCATATAAAATTAACAGAAAATTCTCATTTGTCGTTTTAAAAAAGTTTCTTGAGGGGCTGGGAATGTGGCCTAGTGGTAGAGTGCTTGCCTAGCATGCATGAAACACTGGGTTCAAATCCTCAGTACCAGAAAAAGTAAACAGAAAAAGCCAGAAGTGGTGCTGTGGCTCAAGTGGTACAGTGCTAACCTTGAACAAATGAAGCTCCAGAGACAGTACCCAGCCCCTGAGTTCCAGCCCTAAGACTGGCAAAAAGAAAAAAAATTTTTTTCATTTTTTTATTGGCTCTCTATATAATTATTTTAATATTTTCTACTCAAATAACTAATATCTTGATCTCAGTGCATTCACTCAATATAGAGCTGTGATTTTCCCAAAGAATTTGATTCCTTCTGTATCTATAGACTAGGGAAACCAGAAACCAGAATGAACAAATCTTTTCTGTAGATATGGGTTAGACTGGTTAAATTCATGTATGTATTTACTTTTATTACTTTGTTTAGGAAAAAGCCAAAACAATATTGGACCACATGAAGAAGATGGAGAAAGCATTATTTCAAGAAATGGAATCAGTACTCCAAAACAAGCATCTTGATATGGATAAAATTACTAATCTCTTTCCTCAGTGTACAAAAGATGAAATTGAAATTTATAGGTCAAATATTAATTCTTAGAAATCTTCCTCAAAGTCAGACTGCCTCAGTAAATGACATAAACCCACTTTGAGTAGCTCTACTTATCCTTCAGTTGCATTCAGGTGATAGATACCTTGACTATAAAATTACATACAGTCTTGATAAAATACTGAGAAAGAAAACATTAAAATCAGACACATATATTGTAGGATAGCCAAATGATACTTCAAGTAATGTACTTGCATAATTATTATTATATTTTTAGTCATAGTAACTTTTTGTCAATAATTAGTATTGTTTTGCATATAGTATAAAGCATTATTATAATTCATGGTTTATATTTATTATAATTCTGTACCACATTCAAATCATTTTCTCAGTTTTATCTACAAACTATTATTTTTCCCCTCATCATGCAAAATACCTCAGGTGGTGGTTTTTATTCCTTATGTAAACATTAACAAGAAAAATTCCATATTTACATATCTTTAGCATTGAAAGATATTCTGCAAATGCATTTTTACTAGACTCAAATATTTATCAGAACTTGGCTGACTGGTGAACCTATATCTCTACTCCTCTAGCCTCCCTTTCTTTTTCTCCCTTAGAAACCACAAATCTGTCTTCACAGTTTTGCTTTTTTCCAGAATGTTTTGTAGTTGGAATCATATAGTGTACCCTTTTGATTGGCTTCTTTAACTCACTATTAATATACACTTAAGGTTTCTCCATGTTTCATAGCTTAACAGTGCTTTTCTTTTTGGAACTGAATAATACCCATTTTTGGATAAGCTATTACTAAAGAACATTCTAGTTGCTTCCAATTTTTGGCAATTATAAAAAAATATAAACATCTATGTACAAGTATCTGTGTGGATATAACTTCTCAGTTCATTTGTGCAAATACCAACATGTGTGTAATTGCTGAATTGTATGGTAAAAGTATGTTTAATTTTGTAAGAAACTGCTGAACTATCTTCTAGAGTGGCCTCTACTTCTCACCTCTACCAGCAGCCATATTGCTTCACATCCTATCTGCACATTGTCATTGTTTCAGATTTTGGCCATTCTAGTAGGTACACAGTTGTTTCTTATTTTAATTTGTAGTTCCTTAATGACTTAGGATGTTGAATACCTTCATGTTTATCTGCCATCTATGCTTGTTCTTCAGTAAGGAGTCTGTTTTGACCTTTTGCCTATTTTTATTTTTTATTTTTTTTATCTTTTGTGCTTGAACTTAGGGCCTAGGCACTGTCCCTGAGCTTTTTGGCTCAAGGCTAGCACTCTCTACCATTTAAGCCACAGCTCCCTCCACTTCTGGCTTTTTGGTGGTTAATTGGCGATAAGAGTCTCATGGACTTTACTACCTGGTTGGTGTCTAGGTAGTTCTTAGCCCCCTTGAATAGCTAGTATTATAGGTGTGAGCCACTAACACCTGGCTCTTGCTTATTTTTTAATCAGATTTCCATTTTCTTATTGTTAAAACTCAAAACGTTTGCATATATTAGTTGTACCTGATGGTTCCATTGTGACATTTCTATATATACTTAGAATGTATCTTGATTAGACTCAGCCCCTCCTCACTCTCCTTCATCCCCTACCTTCTTAAAACAGTTTTAACCATTAATTGTTCTAATTCATACATGTACATGAAGTACTTTGATCCAATTACCCCTCCCTCTCCTACTGGTACACACCTACAGATAGGACCCCTCAACACTTTTTTTTGTTGGTCATTGGTCTTGGGTGCTGTCTCTCAGCTCTTCAGCTCAAGGCGAGTGCTCTGCTGCTTGAGCCACAGCCACTTCCAGTTTTCTAGTGATTTATTGGAGATAAGAGTCCCACGGACTTTCCTGCCTGGGCTGGCTTTAAACTGCAATCCTCAGATCTCAGCCTCCTAAGTAGCTAGGATTATAGGCGTGAGCCACCGGCCTCTGGCCCCCTCAAACACTTTATAGATTAATTGTTCTTAGGTTAAAGTCTTAGTCCTAAACAAATGCCAACTAGAGATCCTACTAACCTGGCTGCTTCTATATAGTATTACACTTTCACTGTTGCTTTTATACATTTCAATTACGTTGCTCTTTCAAGTCCTTGAATATACCCAGTTCCTTCCTCATGGCTGTACCCACTGCTTGCACCATTCATTCTGTGTGCTCCCCTTTTATATAAGTAATACTTTTATTCTTTAAAGTTTTGCCAAGACAGGAGTTCTTCTCTTAACACATTCTTGGAGCCATGCATGTGGCTTGTCCTTATCACAAACTACACATTTAGCATCAGTTTTTCACAGTAGACTAGAATCTCTTATTCTGGAGTCACATTTGTTTTCACTGTTGTCTGCACAATGGTCAATATTATGTCTGGCACATGCTAGATACTCAATAAATATTTGTTAAATAAATATCCAAGTATTTACACAGCTTTCTCCTAGAGAAAGGTAAGGAGCTGGGGGCTGGGAAGATGGCTCAGTGGTAGAGCGCTTGCCTTGCAATGCCTGAGGCCCTGGGTTCGATTCCTTAGCACCACATAAGCAAAAAGAAAAAAGCCAGAAGTGGTGTTGTGGCTCAAGTGGTAGAGCGCTAGCCTTGAGCTGAAGAGCTGAGGGACAGCGCCCAGGCCCAGAGTTCAGGCCCCACGACCGGACCCCCCAAAAAAAAATCTCTCAAGACCAATACTTAGAAAAATTAAAAACACCACTAAAAGAAAAGTAAATCCATATTTTACACACAGAAAACTTGCAAAAGGAAAAATCTACTTAAAAGGAGACTAAAAAAAGAAAAAAATGGTATCTAATGAAGAAAAAAAGACATTGAAAACTTATTTTACAAAAGGCCTCGCTGAAAGCTTCTGCATCATTCAGATTACTCAAAGATGTCAAAAATTCAAGTTAAAATAGATAACTTTATTGAGAAACGTGCTTTGTCAGTGAGAAAGTTACAATTACAAATATTTTCACTTAATAAAATTAATATATCATTAATTCTAAAAACATCTCTTTATTATCTGAAATTGCATATCATATCATTTTGATCCAGGGTTTTCTTTAGTGTAGCCCATGGAAAAAAAAGTCCATTGTGCAAATTGCAGAATGTATGGAGTATGATTTGTTCGCACAAACTCACCACTTGAACTTGAGTTGCCTGCATGCATGCAAGTTCTATCTCTTTGCTCAACTATGAAAGTCTCCTAGTAAAACAGTGAGGCTTTAAGCTTACTCCTGAGCATTCAGAGTCATAATGTCATATTTTTAAAAGGTTTCACAGCAAGACTGTTCTGCTTAAAATATCCCCATTCCCTAATCATAAAATTGGTGTATGTTAATGTTAATAGTACACTAAAGAATAAACTCCCCGTTAACTACACTCAGCTTCCATGCAGGTTCTTTTTTGCTTTTAATGGCACTAACTATAATTTTCTACATGGTTTTTTATATATGAAACTCTAAAAATATGAGATAAATATTTTAATGTTTTAAATAAGTTAAACCAGCACTGATAATAATTAAGTTGATGTTCAAACGTCATGTAAATGGTTTACTTTTTAATTTTTTGAAGGTAAAGCTTGTTTCTGTCTCCCCGCAAGTTCACAATTTGATGGCATTTTGGGGAGGTGTTTAGGTCACAAGGTAGAGCCCACAAGCATGGGACTAGCACCCTTTTAAAGGGTCAAAGAGACCAGAGTTCTTCCCCTTCTACCATGGGAGACATCATTAGTATACTAGAAAGACAGGAAGATACCATCTGTGAATCAGGATCAAGGCCCTCACTGTTTTACAGTGTTTTACAGGGCTAGTTTTCTGTTGTTTATAGGCCATCCAGCATATGCCATTTTGTTTTATCAGTCTTAATGGACTAAAACAGAAACAAGTAGTAAATTTTAAGAAGTAATTTTAAAAAAAGTTTTTGGTGGTAGTGGGGTTTGGACTGAGGGCCTCACCCTTGCTAGGCTGTTTACCACTTGAGCTATATTTCCAGCCCTGCTTTGGAAATAGAGTCTAGCAAACTTTTCTGCCTAGGCTAGCTTTATGATCCTCCAGATTTCAGACTCCTGAAATAACTAGGATTATAAGTGTGAGCTACTGGTGTCCAGCTACATAGGCACTTTAAAAAAACTGAATTCTAAACAGTGGTAGAATGGTAGATTTAGAATTTTAAGATATTATCTTCACACATGTATGTATCTTTTTTTTCCTTTTTACAATTTTTTTCTTTCTTCACTGCAGGGAACAAATTATTGCTAGAGTTATTCTGCATTTTAATATTTTGCAAATTCCAGAGATGATACATTACATAGCACAATTTTAGTAACACTTAAATGAATATGTTCAAATTGCCTGTAGTAAAAGATCAGATTATACTTTTGTTAAAGGATTATGGAGATGATGAATGTCTCTGATGGTGTTATTCCCTTCTTTGAGAGCTTGTTTGTTGGTTCTGGCTGGGTAATGCAGCCATTTATATACACTTGTGTCTGAAGAACATCTCCCTGTCTTGGAGAAGGCTATCCTCTTTGTCTAATTGCACAGCTTCAGGAGGGACCCACATGGAGTGGTGAGGGAAGAAGGGGACACCCATGCAGCCTGCCAGGCCTCGCCAGCCAGATTCTGGAATCAATCCTGGTGATCAGTGGGGAGACAGATGCCACAGCCCCATTGCCCTCATATCCATTGTATTCCTTTCCTAATGACATGTACTTTAGTATTTTGCGTAGAAACGCAAGAAATACAAACCTTAAAAAGTAATACCTTTAGTTTGTAAATAAATAATATTTGTCAAAGAAATGGAAAAATTAAAAGAATAAGGACCTTTTAGAATTATTAAAATTCTTTTTTTTAAGAATTCTATCAATAAGTGTAAACTGATATAATTTAAGGTGCATTTGTCTAGCAGTAAATTTACTGAACTTGACAGTTTAAAGGATAGTCAGTGTTGAGTTTTAAATTATAGCAGTTATAGGAAGAAATTACTTTAAATGTTGGCATGTTAGTATTCTAGTAATTATTCATTATCAGAACCTGAACTTTTCCCTTTTCCTTATGTTTCCAATGTGTTTTATATACACATAAGATCACATGATGTCAGTTTGGGGTAGGGATGTGTTTTACCAGGTTTTACAAAAAAAGTAACTGAGGCTCAGAGAGGCTGGAACTTGCCCAAGGTCACAAAGCCAAAAAGTGATAGACATGATTATTCTTGTGGGGTTCCTTGCTTCATAATTTATATCTTAGGGGAAAGTGAGGATGGGGATGAATGCTCAATTACTTTATAGCTTTCCTGTTGAGGGGTGTTTGCATGAGTAGCAGGAGGACTTTGTTGAGGACTCTTTTGAAGAAATCTGTAAAACAAGTACTCATCCCGAAATTCATAGTCATTGGTAATATGTTGGATGACACCCCCTTGTACCAGTCTGTCTCCATATAGTACAGCTTCACCACGATCAGAGGCAAGGCCAACTTCAATGAGCCAGTTCACCAGGTCACAGCCACAGAAGGTCCCAGCAGAAGTCTTTGCACCACACCTGTATGTCAAAGGAATGATTCACCCATATGTTCTGTAAATCTGGTATCAGCACTGTGTAACAGAGGACAAGCAAGGAAAGACAGAAAGAAACAAGGAAAGACAGTGTGATGGTTAAAAGCATAGCAGGAATGAAACTATTCTGAACATAAAGGAGTTGCTAACATGATGCTAGAATGATCCTTGGGAGGAAAACAAAATATGCTATTAATGCTTGTGAAGACAGAAATGCTCAAGCAATACCAAAACGACAGAGATAATGTAAATGTATTGTCAGAGAAATATTCCTTTTATGGAAGCATGGCCTTTGATGATAAAAATCTGTTTTGTAGACAGTTGAATATTATATTTAATAAATGATTACACTATTTGCTTTGTTAGGTAACTCCTGTAATCCCCAAATTAGGGACACTGAGGTACATGGATTTCAAGATTATAAGGCTGTTCTAGGCTACATATAAATAGCGAGACCCTGCCTCAAAAAATAACAAATAACAACAAAACCCAATAAACAAAAACAAATGACTGCTTTTTTACTTTTACTAAGCTACCCAAATCAAACTTTATTTTTAGCTTACAATGCCCACAAGTAGTCTTTCTTCTTGCTCTCAGCAACTAACACAACTATATTGATGTGTTTCCAGGAACTTACTTTATTAGGAAGCAAGAAAAAATAAGTAAGCTCTGTATTGCTACAAATCTAAGATTTTAAGAGTGTACTTTAGTTGTGAATCTACTTGGTGATTATTTAAAATTTGTCTTCCTAATGCAATGTAAATGCCTTAATTATGAGCAAATAAAGAAAAAGAAATGTGAAAAATAAAATAAATGATAAAAGGTGGCCTAATTACATGAATTCTGTCTATTTAATATAAGTATGCAATAGACAATAAGAATCTTCCCACCCAAAGTGCTTGACAATAGGAAATAATGGATAGGAGAGCAATATGAAATGAGAAATAAGTAATGGAAATCTTTAAACATTTTGCCATAAATAAAAAAAATTAGTTTCATGTAAAAACGATAAAAGGTTAAGATACATTTTAATTAGAATACAATTTAATTACAATATTTGACCTGTGCCCGAGCCTTCTTTCTGCTTATGGACTTTGAAATTTTAGTCTAAGGCCTTCTGTCCCAGACTCAGAGTAATATATTTTTTTTGGGGGGGGGGTCTAGTTCTGGGGCCTGAACTCTGGGTCTGGGTGCTGTCCCTCAGCTCTTCAGCTCAAGGCTAGCGCTCTACCACTTGAGCCACAGCGCCACTTCTGGCTTTTTTTCTTTTTGCTTATGTGGTGCTGAGGAATCGAACCCAGAGCCTCAGGCATGCAAGGCAAGCACTCTACCACTGAGCCACCTTTCCAGCCCAATATTTGTTTTTTGATGCTTGTGATCTGGCTGTAACAGAAGCCTATGAAGTTGTACAGAGTGACAGATAATGTGACACTGTAAAGGCTGTAGAGGCTAGAAAGGGGAAAACAGCCTATCATACAACTAGCTGGTGCCTGTTCAGCCATCTGGGACCAAGGCTGGTGGTCCTGCAAGTGACAAGAGCTATGCTTTCTGACAATTGGTGAGCATCACACACCTTACATAGCTAACGTGTAGTTTTCTTTTTCAGTTTAAAAAAAACAATTTTAAATAACTGGAACTATACATTGATAATATCTTGAAATAATTGTATTCAACCAACCCTTTAAGGTAGAAAACGAACTTTTCTTCATAGTTTGTCATTTCTAGAAACTGGGCTAGCCCCATCAGACATTTGTCATCTAACTCAACCTTAAAAATAAGATTTTACTCAGGAAGCTGAGATCTGTGGATCACAGATTGAAGCTGGCTCAGGCAGGAAAGTCTGTGAGAGTCTTATCTCCAATAAACTACTCAGAAAAAGCTAGACTTGGTGCTGTGGCTCAACTGGTAGAGCACTAACCTTGAGTAGAGTGGCTAGGGACAGTGCCCAGGCTCTGAGTTCAAGCCCCAGGACTAGCAAAAAAATAAAATAAAATAAAGATTTTTAAAAAAAGGAAAGCTAAGATTTTGAGAATTGAACTTGACTATAATCACACATCCATGCATTTCTGTAATAATCCATATCCAACATGGCCACTTCCTACTACCTATATTATTTGCCTTCTGATTTTAATGACATGTATGTTAAAAAGAATGGCACAGTTCATGGAACTAAACCATCCTGGATATTAATCTTCATATTTTTATTGTCAGAAAACACATAAAAGGAATAGGTTTTTATGTTTTGTGCTTTTGTTTCCTCTTTCGTGACAACAAAAACTACTAGCATTACAACATCTGTTTATTCGGAGTTCATCATTTCCTACTATAGCATATTCACTCCAAACCTTGGCAGTTAGAGCAATAAATGTAATGTCATGGACTAAATGTTAGGATTTGAGGTGATAAGTGGAAGAATTTAGAGGCAGAATTTCCATTTTGTGTTACTTTAATTTTTTTTGTTAGTCATGGGGCTGTCTGAGTGCTGTCCCTGAGATTCTTTGTTCAAGGCTGATACTCTACTATTTTGAGCCGCAGCTCTGCTTCCAGTTTTTTTGAGGTTAATTGGAGATAAGAGTCTCAGACTTTCCTGCCTAGGCTGGCTTTGAACCATAATCCTCAGATCTCAGCCTCCCAAGTACCTAAGATTACAGGTGTGAGCCAACAGCATCTGGCTCCATTTTGTTTTCTTGAGAGTAGCACTAATAATATGAAATAGCATGGTACTATTGTAATATAAAATCAACTTGCAGTCTAATGTATGAGAGGCTAGAAAGTGAAAGCGAATAGCCTAATACACTACCATTAGTGAATAGCCAACGTGAAGTAAATGTTGGCATTCTGCCATTTCTAGAGTTCCCTTTAAAGATTTACAATTTATATAGAAACAGAAATTATATGACTCTTTTGTTGTTTTTTGTTGATCATGAGTCTTGGCTGGGGCGCTGTCCCTGTGCTCTTCAGCTCAAGGCTAGCACTATCACTTGAACCACAGCTCCACTTCCAGTTTTCAGGTGGTTAATTGGAGATAAGAATCTCATAGACATTCCTGCCTGAGCTGGCTTTGAACTGAGATCCTCAGATCTCAGCCTCCAGAGTAGCTAGGATTATAGGCGTGAGCCACAGACTCCAGACTATATGACTTTTAAAGGACATTAAAATCATGGTAGGTGCTGGAGGCTACTTGGGAGGCTGAGATCAGAGGATCACATTTCAAAGCTGGCCTGGGCAGGAAAGTCCCTGAGACTCTTATCTCCAATAAACTAACAAAACAAAACAAAAGTCAGAAGTTAAACTGTTCCTCAAGTTGTAGAACACTAGCCTTGAGCAAAGAAGCTCAGAGATAGCACCCTGGCCCTAAGTTTAAGTTTCTGAAATGGCAAAAATAGATAGCTAGGTAGATAGATAGATAGATAGATAGATAGATAGATAGATAGATAGATAGATAGATAGATAGATGGATAGATAGATAGAATTAAAAAGACATTCAAATCAAAGTGTTATGGCCATTTTATATGCCATTTCTTAAACTACAAATGGCCCCAGAACTGTCAGCCTGTTAAAATCCAAAATTAATCATATAAATATAATTATCTGGAATCTATACTGGTAATTGGCTTACCTTCTTTTCTTGACAATGTTTCGAATACAGAGGTCACGATGATAATGGATAAATTGTTGACAGGTCATTTTTATTTCCTCAGAAACAGGAGAATCTCTGTTTTCTGCTGTTTCTTTATTATTCCATAGAAATTCAAGCCTGAAAAAAAAAACAATTTTTAAGTAGCCTATTTTTAAGGAAAGTAAAGTACTGAGAGAATCCTTTCTGCCCCCTTAAAATGACTGCTTCAAAGCTAGCTGCAATACCCGGACACCATCAGTTTCTGAAACAGAGGCATATTTGTTATAAATTCACTTTCCTATTTAAAACAGGCTAGGTGGTAACCTGATCATTTTATAACTCCTAACAGTTATGAAAAAAGATATGAAAATATCAGTACCTTAATAGAATAGATTTTCACCTTTAGAAGGATATAAATTTATTTCAAAACTAAATTTACCTTCTTTTGAAAGGTAGGATGATTAAATGTTTGTCCAATCCAAAGATTCCAAAGGAAATAAATCCCTAGGGAGGAAAACAAAGTTTTTTTTTCTGAATTAAACAATAAAATTTCAAGTCAGAAAAACTACGGAAGCCACCAAATGTAGTGCTTGAGGAAGCAGTTGATAGTAATAACAACAACGTTTGAAATGAAACAGACAAGGCAGGTCCTTAAAATTCAGTGCCTGGAGGCATGCATGATACCTAGCTGCCTCATTCAGTCCTATTAATTATGATGATGATGATGATGGTGATGATGTCAGTCATGAGTCTTGAACTCAGGGCCTGGGCATTGTCCATGGCTCTTTCATTCAAGACTAATGCTCTACCACTTTGAGCCACAGCTCCACTTCTAGTTTTCTGGTGGTTAATTGGAAATAGAGAGTCTCACAGACATTCCTTTCTGGGCTGGCTTTGAACTGCAATCCTGAGATCTCAGCCTCTTGAGTAGCTAGGATTACAGGCATGAGCTACCAATGGCCAGAAGTCATACTAATTATGATAGGTGATACAAACAGGCACTGACCAACCACATTTACATGCCAGCTTGCTGAAGAAAAATGAAAACAGTTAAGGACTATACATATATTTCTCCTTTTTGAAAATAAAATGTTTCTCACTCTGCTTATTTATTTTGCGTTGTAACTTTGGAAATTATATAATTCATATAATTTATCTGATTATAATCGATTAACTGTTATGGGTTGGATGTGAAGTGCTCCCCCAAACTCAGGTATTGATGGTGTGATCCCTGATAACAATGTTAAAGGTGGAGCTTTGAGAGGTAACTGGTTCAAGAGGCTCTAACTTCATAAATGGACTAACACGTTGTTGAGCTCATAGGTATTGGGAGGGGGATGAGGTGGGAAGAAGTAAGTCACAGAATGAGGCATTATCATTAAGAGTTTGTCTCTCCCCCTACTCATCCCTCTGTCTCTCCATCTCTCTCTTTCCTTCCCTCCAGTTGCCATGGGGTGAGTAATTGCTCAACTCGGAGTTCTCTACCATAATGTTAGCCTTGTCAAAGGTCTAAAGTAATGGGGGAAACTAATCATGTACTGAAACCTCTAAAACTGTGAGCCAAAATTAATAATTTCTCCTGTTAACTTGATTTACTTGGGTATTTTGTCACAGGGATAGCAATTATGATTAACTTAGAAAATGGAGAGAATTTATGTAAGTGATTCTGGCTCATGGCCAGAGAACAGGTGTGAAGGATTTGAACATATGGTACCAGTCACAGATCAGGAGGATATGGGGATGCTTGGGGAGACAGTGGCTTTTAGCTGACATTTAGTCAGGCATACAGGAGTGCAGATTAGTAGCCGGTAGGCTGGAAAATGCAGTATTGCCTATTTTACATGCAACATATACATGAAGGGCCTAATTTATTCACCCCTTAACTACAAACAGTAAGAGAATATCTTACTACTACATAAACTCCCCCAAAGAAAAATGAGATGGGAGTGAGGTGTGTGTTTCTTTCACTCCTTTGAACCACTTGAGACATAAGCTATGTGGGCAGCATTTTAAGTGCAGTCTTCCTGGCATTAGTTCTGCTCATGACAACCCTCTATGGAGTGACGCTTTCTCAATCTCTCTTAGGATAGGTCAGCTGTCAGTGGGCTATCTGAATACAAAATGCTAAGGGAAACTAGTTTTTCAACCTAGTATCTTACAGTTTAATATGATCCTCACTTGATATTCATCAACTTATGGACAAATATTTTTAAATCAAAAAGTAAAAACTTTAGCTGGGGATGTTGCCAAGCATGTGCAAGGTCTTGGGTTATCCCCAGTACTACAGAAAAAAAGAAGGCATTAATGAGAAGATTAAAATTGGAAATTTGCATATACAATTTTCAATAGGAAAGTTATCATTTTCCCTTGATTACTTCTTTTTCTGTGCTGGGAATCAATCTGAGAGTCTTGAAAATTCTATGCATTAAACATCCATTTTAAACTGGGCTGGCTGGGTGCTAGAGGCTCATGCTTATAATCCTAGCTACTCAGGAGGCTGAGCTCTGAGGAGTGAGATTTGAAGCCAGCCCAGGCAGAAAACTGAGATTTTTTTTTTTTTTTTTTTTTGGTCAGTTATGGGGGCTGAACTATAGGCCTGGGCGCTGTCCCTCAGCTCTTCAGCTCAAGGCTAGAACCTTACCACTTGAGCCACAGCACCACTTATGGCTTTTTTCTGCTTATGTATTGCTGAGGAATCAAACCGAGGGGCTCATGCATGCAAGGCAAGCACTCTACCACTCAACCAACTTCCCAGCCCAAAACTAAGATTCTTATCTCCATTTAACCAGCAAAAGGCACAGTGGTAGAGCTCAAGTGGTAAACTGACAGCCTTAAATGGAAAAACCAAGTAGGAGCAAGAGGACCTGAGTTTAAGCTCCAGTACTGGCACAAAAACAAACAAACTGGAGATGATGATATCTACTTGGAAGCATTGCTCTAGTGTTTAACTGAGATAATGGTTGTAGAGTGCTTAACAATGATTGGTCCACCATAAACTCTAGTGAAGGTAACTATTATCCTTGGTCAAAATTTATTTACATGGGGCTGGGAAGGTGGCTCAGTGGTAGAGCGCTTGCCTTGCATGCCTGAGGCCCTGGGTTCGATTCCTCAGCACCACATAAGCAAAAAGAAAAAAAAAAAAAGCCAGAAGTGGCGCTGTGACTCAAGTGGTAGAGCTCTAGCCTTGAGCTGAAGAGCTGAGGGACAGCACCTAGGCCCAGAGTTCAGGCCCCATGACTGGACCAAAAAAAAAAAAAAAAAATTTATTTACATGTCACATTATATACTTATTTTGCAAGAAACATCGAAATAGAAGCCAAATGGTATTTATCAATTCAAGTGTCTAAAGACTTAGAGAAGGCATTCCTAGGGACAGTTACTAAGATCATGAAAAATTAAAAAAAGAAATTAGGACATCTTGTTCTTGCATCTTTGTCTCAAAACCAAAGCAAAGACTATTTGGCACTTCTAGCTGGAATCCTCAGTGTACACTCTGATGACTTTAACCAATATAATAATTCATCTCTACTATGAGAGAAGCAGCAGCAGCTGTCAGCTGTCATATATATATATATATATATATATATCAGCAGCTGGCAAACACACTAAACCCTTTCAATTTAGCCCATCATTTCACCCAGGAAAACAAAACCCCCTCAAAGTTCTCAGTAAATAAATACCTGGCCAAAGTTAAACACGGCACAAAAAAACTGCAACTCAACATATAGTTTTCCAGGCTCTCGGTTGAATAACCACCACAAACAACTGGAAAGATTCTGTAACAAAAGGAGAAGAGAGTACTTCACTGAAGCATGCTAATCATTTCTCTCCATCCAGAGCACAGTACAATAACTTATCTACTTAATAATTAGGGGGAAAGATGAAAGGGGAAAAACACTGAGAGAATATAAAGGCTTTGTCTTTCAAACAAGAGGTTTCAACCTCTCCTCCTGACAGATGTCATTCAAACAGCATCTATTCTGATCAGATTTGAAGCAAGAAGACATTATACAGAAGCTTACATAATACACCAGGACTGCCGGCTACCCAAGACAGGACAGATTTTAAAATTACTCCCATACAATGAAAACAATTATATCACTAAGCAGTGGTTCTTGGCAGCATGCCTCATTTTTTGATTTTTGTTCTTAAGCAGCAGTTAAAGTGCTGCTAGCTGATATCATACTATATAAGCCAAGTGTGAAAAGACTTTATAAGTTATGTGGTCCATCTCCCACCTCTTTAGAGCTAGTTACTTTTGCACCATCTTTAAAAATATGTTGAAGTAACTGAAAATTAACAAAAGAGGATATACAACTTATTTTAAAACCCTTTAGTAAAGAAATGCATGCATTCCAAACTAAAGTGCTATAATTCACTTATAAATTATCAAATTAAATATTTAATAATATCTGATACTAGTCAGGGCAATTTATATATCTAGACTACATTTCTGAAAACCAATTTAGTAGAATGCATTCCAAGTCATAGATGTTTCTATTCTTTGATCCAGATTTCTCAACATTGGGAATCTATTAGTAAATATACTGCATGAAGCTATTTATTAGGGTATTTTGAAAGCCTGTGGGTGCTGGTGATGCATGCCTGTAATCTTAGCTACTTGGGAAGTAGTTCAAGGCTAGTCCCAACAAAAAGTTCAAAAGACCCTGTCTCAACTAATAAAAGCTGCTCATGGTAGCACATGCCTGTCATGCTAGCTATACAGGAAGCATAAAAGGGAGTATCACAGTCCAGGCCAGCCTGAGCACAAACCAAGACCCTATTAAAAAATAAAGCAAGCCACGTGCCAGTAGCTCTTGCCTGTAAATTATAGCTATTCAGGAGGCTGAGATCTGAGGATCACAGTTCAAAGCCAGCCTGGGCAGAAAAGTCTGTAAGACTCATATCTCCAACTAACCACTAGAAAACTGGAAGTGGTGTTGTGGATCATAGTAGTAAAGTACTATCCTTGAGAGAAAGGGTCAGCATTCAGGCCCTAAGTTCAAGCCCCATGACTGAAAAATAAATAAATAAATAAAGGGCTGGGGCATGGTTTAAGTGTTAGAACACCTGACTCACAAATGCAAGGTACTGAGTTCAAACTCTAGTACTGCAAAAAAAATTTGAAAAAAATCTAGGAATAAATTAGTAGTTGAATAAATTATAATTTTCCTATGACTTACTGGAAAGCCATTTAAAGCAATGGTTATAGACACTATGCAGCAACATGAAATAATGAAAAAAGTATATAAATCTGCATGTATAATTAAAATGAAAAAATGTGTTAAATATTAGACTCTAGGGGCTGGGAAGGTGGCTCAGTGGTAGAGCGCTTGCCTTGCATGCCTGAGGCCCTGGGTTTGATTCCTCAGCACCACATAAGCAAAAAGAAAAAAGCCGGAAGTGGCGCTGTGGCTCAAGTGGTAGAGTGCTAGCCTTGAGCTGAAGAGCTGAGGGACAGCGCCCAGGCCCAGAGTTCAGGCCCCACGACTGGACCCGCCCAAAAAATATTAGACTCTGTATATCACTTTTATAGTAACAATAAAAAATTTTAAAAAAATAGAAGCAGAGCTTAGAGTGTCAGATCTAGTGGTGGTAAGCACTTCAACCCTAGCATTGAAGCGGCAGGAAAGGAGGATCTAGAATTTGAGGCTAACCTGGGCTACATAGTGAGTTTAAGACCCATCTGAGCTACCTAGTAAGCCCCTGTCTTAAGAAACTAAGGTTTGGAAGAGGTAGAAAAGTCCAAGAGATCCCTTCTCAACACACAGCTGGGTGCAGTGGTACATGCCTGTCATTCCAAGCTACACAGGAGCCTGGCTTAGTTTCTTTTTGTGAGAGATATTGTAACCACCTGTCCTCTACTTTTGGTCAGTCAAGTACATTAGGAGTGACTTTGCACATAATGTGGAGAAACATGTTTTTTTTTTTTTTTTTTTTGTCGGTCGTGGGGCTTGAACTCTGGGCCTGGGCGTCGTCCCTCAGCTCTTCAACTCAAGGCGAGCGCTCTACCACTTGAGCTACAGCGCCACTTCCGAGAAACATGTTTTTGCCAAATCCCACCTTCAAAGCATAGAATGAGAAATGAGTGAGTGAAAACAGAACAGCTGAATGGAGCATTTAGACAGCAGAGTGATGTGAATGCCCTATGGCTCAAATTAGAACTCAGATGGCCTATCTACCACACTTCCATAAAGTAACCTTAATAAATAGCCCTCAAACAAAAACAGATGAAACATTTACAGCAAACAAGCCAATAATGAGAAGTAGACACAGCAAGACATGTCTTGTCAGTTGCTGGTCCCCACTCTGCAGATACTGTTCTTCCTCTTGGGCTAATATGCAGCTCTGGGAGTTACAGCGGCTCACACAGTGATCATCTGTGAAACAGAATGCACAATTTGTAATCAGAGTGGTTTATTTGAATGCATTTTAAATTTATAATGACTTCCTAAGAGAAACAACAAGAAAGCATATTTAGCTAAGTATCAGTATATAATTTTTGCTGTATTTGGAGAAGAGCTTTCTCATGTTGTTTTAGGAGAGTTTTAGTCATAGAATGTTTTTACCTGAAAAAAAACCCACAAGTAATAGTTCCTTTTGTACAATTTAGCAATTTTATATCTGCATAATTTATGTTATATAATTTCATTGTATATTAATATTTTAACTAAATGTATAATAAAATAAAATTTAAAAAGTTAAATTAGTAACTCATATGTCACCTATGATCAATCTACATTTGAGCCACAAGTGCCCTATTATACTCTATTTTGGCTGACAGTAATCAAATGTACTATTACTATTATCTTTTATGAGAATTTAAAATTTGCCTTAGAAAGGGCCCTTAAGCTGTCAAATAAATACTATATACTGCATTTTGTTCACATATAAAACCAATCCCAAATCATCCTTATCTATCCTGAAACAGAAGTAAGGGAACTTTCATAAGAAACTTCAACCTCATTACTACACTGTATATGTCAGTAAAAGTAAAGAAAAATATTTTTACATAATACACTAATGTCCAGTCTTAAACAAGTCAGTTATAAAACATAATTTTATAGCTCTTACCCTCAAACTAAAAATAAAAGTGTGCATTTCCTGGACTGCTCTTTATAACAGGACATATACACTATCAAAAATGGGCCTCTGAGCTGGACATTGATGGCTCACCCCTGTAATCTTAGCTACTTAGGAAGCTGAGATCTGATGATTGAGGTTCAAAGCTAGCCTAGGCAGGAAAGTCCAGAGACTTTTATTTCCAGCTAACCACCTGAAAACTAGAAGTGGAGCTATAAAGCTCAGGTATAATGCCTAGGCCCTGAGTTCAAGCCCCATGATGACCAAAAAGGGAAGGAAGGAAGGAAGGAAGGAAGGAAGGAAGGAAGGAAGGAAGGAAGGAAGGAAGGAAGGAAGGAAGGAAGGAAGGAAGGAAGGAAGGAAGGAAGGAAGGAAGAGGAAGGAAGGAAGGAAGGGAGGGAAGGAGGGAGGGAGGGAGGGAGGGGGGAGGGAGGGAGAAAGGGAGAAAGAAAGAAAGAAGGAAAAGAAAGAAAAAAGGAAAGAAAGAAAGGAAGGAAGGAAGGAAGAAAGAAAGAAAGAACAATAGGCCTTTCCAGCACTGACTCACACCTAATCCTAGCTTCTACTCAGGAGGCTGAGGTCTGAGATCTAAGTTCAGAGCCAACCAGGACAGATAAGTCTGTAAGACTCTTATCTCCAATTAGCTAGTTGAAAGGTGAAAATGGAGGTGTGGCTCAAGTGGCATAAATATATAGTTGCTCAATGTATATATGTATATTTAATATAAAATATATTTAATACATCATATATATTTAACATATATATCTTTATTAAATATATAGTGGCTCTCTATATATACTTTTAAAATATATACAGTTAGGGTTTTGTGCCTGCTAGGAAACAGTCTACTTGAACTATGCCATCAGTCTATTTGCTTTTTAATTTATTTCTCAGAGACAGTCTCATGCTGTCTTTGCCCAGGCTGATCTAGAATCATGGTCCTCCTATATCTTCCACCCCAATAGCTGGGACCAAAGGAATGCACCATCATATCTGGCCTAAAAGATGATTACTTTCAAAGACTTTTCCTCTCCTTTATTTTAGGAGGAAAGAAAGCATAAAGATTCATAATTAATTAAGCACCATTTAATTAGTACTGGTCCTATGGGTAAATAGTAGGGGAAAGTCTCAGCTCTTAAAACAGAATGGGGGGGGGGGGAAGGAGGTAAAGAGGGAGAGAGGAACAGAGAAGAGCAGGAGAGAGAGAAAGCACATGCACCACAAAAGTAATATCTTTAGAGTATACTTCTTGTATTTATGAATTAATTTTCACTCCCTAGGGACTGTACCCAGGGATTCACAGATACACCCTATTACTTAGATACATCTTCAGCCATGTAAGTTAAACTCACTGGAAAAATGTGTGTGTGTGTGTGTGTATGTGTGTGTAATATTATTTATTACTGTAAGATTTTTTTTTGTTCTCAGAATTGGACTTTAAATTCAAGGCTTTATGCTTGCTTATAAAGTGCTCCTCCACTTGAACCACATCCCCAGCTCTTTTCTACTTTTTAGTTATTTTTCAAGTAGGGTTCCATGTTTCTGCCTGGGGCTGGCTTCATACTGATATCCTCCTATCTCCACCACCTGAGTAGCTAGGATGATACCCACTTAGCCAGAACTTCCTATTTTTTTCAAAGAGTATTCTATCTGTACATTATGATCTTATTAGCACTTTTCCCTATCTTATTTGACAAACCATATCTTTAAACCATATTCTATAGTGTTACAGCTTCTATGGAAAAACCCTTCAGAATTCTCTTAAGGCATATGGAAAGCAATTTTCTGTTCATGAAGCCTGTAGGCACTCACTTTTCTCAAACGAAGGAGTCACAGGCCCACTAGTGCTTGTGTTTGCTACTGGTTCTGTTGATGGGCAGTGTAATTCACCATTTCCCATGGAGCAAGAGCAGCAACCTATACAGATAAAATAATGTGAAGGTGGATCTCAACCACATAGAAATGGACAAGTTCAAAAGATGCCAGACAGACAAAACTAAAAAAATGAATCCCACTCATACAGCTTCCATGGAAATGTTTCCACATGATAACTATCAAGAAATAGCCAAATCTGCCTATACAAAAGTTTACAGTTAAATAGTTCAGGCAATGATCAGTTCCTTTACACATTGTCTCCTCACTGCACGAGACAAGGAAAAATACTTTTATACATGCTGTTTCACTTCCACTGTGCTTTGAGAACTAAGAATTCAAACATTTTCCTAAAACATTTTATCAGTCCTCAAAAAAAATACACATCAATGCACTAATGATTACTGTGGAAAATTCAAACTTGCTGGCCGAAATCTGAAAGCTCTCATTCTGTGACTTGGCCTCTCTCCCTACCTGTGTGCCCAGACCTTTTATTCAATGAAAAGCCTTCTCGTCTTTCAAGACAATTCTTTCGAGTCCTCAACAAGCCTCATCTGTGCCTGGGCTGATCAAATCCTCTCCTTTAAGTGCAGCTCACAATTCACTTCTTTCAAGAGCCTGTATCCTATTAGTATAGAAGATTCACTAAAAACAAGTATATACTTTTTTCTTTTCAAATATATACTGTTGAAAATGTCTTGCTGGTTTATAGCCAGAGGGTTTACAGAAGTCACACTGAGACATCTGCTATAGAGCTGTATTTGTCCCTCTATATAGTCAGAGAAGTACATGAAGGACCCTTTAAAACATCTCACACTTACATAGATATGGGTTATAATAGAATAATAACTTCAATGATAAACTTAAAATTTAATATGCTAGAAAAATGAATCATTCTTAGGCTTAACCTTGATTGATAACATGCTAAAATTATGCAGTGATAGTCTCAAAAACAGAAAGGATTTCAAAGTATAAAATTAAAATAAACTATTACAAATGTCTTTCTAAATTTTAGATAAAGATTCCATTCCAAGGTTATTATAGAATCACAGAATAACAGAAAAGAAAATAGATTATCTGACCTAGACCTCCTGAGAGGCTTGATGCTGAAATCAGCACACACATACACACACACACACACACACACACTTGAACACAAGCACACACAGCTATCATAAGATATTATGATAGGTTCTCCCTGACACAAAGGGTTTATTTGTTTATTTGTTTTCTTTTTTTTTTGGTCCGGTCGTGGGGCCTGAACGCTGGGCCTGGGTGCTGTCCCTCAGCTCTTCAGCTCAAGGCTAGCGCTCTACCACTTGAGCCACAGCGCCACTTCCCGCTTTTTTGTTATGTGGTGCTGAGGAATTGAACCCAGGGCCTCAGGCATGCAAGGCAAGCGCTCTACCACTGAGCCACCTTCCCAGCCCGACACAAAGGGTTTATAAATAACACATCAGTCTTCTCTTTACCAACAAAACCACTGATCTCATATTAAAATAGGCTTATTTTCCTTTCAATCCTAATTCCACAGTAATAACACAAATTATAGGTCTCTCACAAATGTGTAGAAAAGAACAGAGGTAAATGAACCTTTTCAATGACCAAGATTAGAGAAAGCCAGGATGGGCACCTAAGTGCAGTATTACGTGTTAATACCACTAGTAAAACAGAAGATCAGCAGTTAGGAAAGAGAATAACCATAACCAGACAAGGTTTAAAAACTATTTTTACCAGAAGCACCAGTGAATAATCAAATAAATAAGCATTAAATAGCAGTTTCCAAGGCTACTTCAGAAAATCATATAACTTATCCACCCATCCATCTACTTAACAAATGTCAGTAAGTATACTTAGGTCCTGAGGCTACAGTTAACAAGTTAAGACCCCTTACAGTCTACTGGGTTATACAAACAACTTAAAAAAGCAGGTAGAATACAGTGAGATAAGAGAGGTAAGTAAGCCAGGTACAGGCGGCTCACGCCTGTAATCCTAGCTACTCAGGAGGCTGAGATCTGAGGATCGCGGTTCAAAGCCAGCCTGGGCAGGAAAGTCCCTGAGAAGGACCAGGTACATACTCAATAAATCTCTTGGATGATAAATAAAAAATAAATTAAAAACAGAAGTAAAATCTTGGCAGAAGGTTTCCTGTGTAGATAAGGGATAGCTGTCTTCTGGCTCTCCATTTATTTATACTATGGGTTTAAATTCATTTTCTTGCTGGAGATGGTAGTGGCAGGATTTAAATTCTATTATGTAATTTATTTGCTGTTTTTAAAAGATGGGTGAAGAGATCTCAGCAGAAGTCTCTGATGATCCTTGTTTAGTGCTTCCTACAGGCTTGCGGTAGCCAGTTCCACACTTGTGGAAAAGGATGACATGGAGAGCCAGCTAGAGGTAGTAGTCTTCAAGCCCAACCCCAAATCAAACAGTAAGCTGTTTACAGGATAAATATAAGAGTCTGCAATGAAAGATGTTGGACATGATCAGAGAAGTACTGTAGACTTAGGGAAAGCCGCTTTAAATTTTTCAGTGAAAGGATCAGGGGGGTGTAAACTCCCCTAGCAAGCACTGAGGTCTTGGGTTTAACGTCTAATATTACTAAATGATATAATCCCTGAGCTCAGTTTTGAAAAGGAAAACAGTCAAGAAGCTCAAAAGAATGAAATTCTGATGACAACATTAGAAATGAGCTAACAGAGAAATCAGTAAACTTGGATTTAGAGTGAAATAAAGAAAGGTGTGAGTGACAGTCTGGGGCCAAGCATAGAGGGTTCAGTAATGCAGACAGGAGAGAGCTGGAGAGCGGAGGGGGAAAATTAGGGTCAGAGCAAGGCATGGCTAGGTTAAGGAATGTCTTAGAACTTACCAAAAGATTATACTCATAAATAGATTTATAAAGAAAAATTTAACAAATAAATGTGAAGCTCTTCCTGTTATGACCATGATTCAAGTGCATATGAGAATACCTATGATATTCAGAATAATTCAGAAATGTCCTTTACATAAAACTCTTATGATACATACTGTAAAGACAGGGCCAAGTCTTTAAAAAAAAGTAAAGATCATACTTGTTTCTGGGATAGAACTTGTGAAAAGTTCTGGTGCATTTGCTGGTGTTGAACTCTCCTCAAAAGCAGTGTTTCCAGGATCCACTGGTTTATGGCTCTGTTGCTGGCCAAAGCCTTCATAGTGTCCAGCTTGAGTGGTGCGGTTCATGCACATGAGCGACACACCCGCCATCAGGATGCTGCAGAACAGGGTGACTGCTGTGGTGATCATCTGCCGGCATTTGGAAATGATGTTAGGTTTTGTTGTTTTTTTTTCTCACAATCCCATCATGTTGCTAATCTCTGAGTATAGTAAGTATATTTTTTGTTTGTGTTTTGTGTGTTTGTGTGTGTGTGTGTGTGTGTGTCTGAGATCTGTACTCGAACTCAGTATCTGATGCTTTCACTCACTGCCTGAGCCATGTCACCAACCCCAAGAATATTTTTGACAGAAAAGAAATTGGCATAGCTTCAAATATAACAGTGGGTCTTAAAATTGGACAAGATGAAAGGAATGTAAATTACTTACAAAGAAATTAGGGCTTACTTGTACTCATACATTTTTCTAAAAGCTTTGCTGAACAAAAATTGTTTAGTGTTACAGCCATTGGTTTCTTTTATTAGTGATGAGAATGAATATTTGTAGACCTTTTCTTGACTGCTAAGATTTTGCAAGTCATTCAAGCATACTTCAACTAGAAGCTTCTTTATGGTAATGATAGTAAAAATAAGGCATTATAGCTAGCATTTATTAGAACTAATGAGAAGCTAGCACTAATGTAAATCTTTGTCACAAAAATAGAATTAAATTCAAAATTGCAAGGCAGAGAAAAAGGGTAAGAAATCAGTCATTGGAAGAGGTTTTTGAAAAACACATATCCTTTGATCCTATCTTAAAGAATTCAGCAGGTCCTGTAGACAGTATGTCTACCTTAACGTTATTCTAATACACTTCAGATACATTTTTTTCTGAACTTTATAATTCTAAAAGGATTAAAAGTCAAGAATTTGACATTTACCATTCTTGCTTACTTATTAAGTTGCCTTAAATCAACAGGTCTTCTCTCCGGTAAGGGAAACATAAATGTTTTAAAGAAAAATCCATTAAGTTTCAAGCATTTAGAAATTCTCAGCTAAAAATACCTAGACATGTCAAATGGTCAGCATATTTTGGGGTGTGACAAAGGGATATAGGATCACTAGTGTGCTATACACAAAATTAGATTTTTTCAAAGTTCACTTTAAGTATAGGAAGGTACATTAGCAAGCTAAAAAGAGACATTCTCAAGAACATAACTGCCAATAAACTCCTCCCACCTGCTCTTTTCCATAAAAGAAGGCTGAGTCAATGCTATCTCCATTGTGTTTCCCAGTTATCAAAAGCACACCAACAAGGAGAGCAGGAATTCTATAATAACAAGGGTGATTGAGAGAAAACAGAGAATGAATGGCAATTTTGTATAAGTATGGAAACATGAGTGAACATAGAGAAAACCACCAACTTACCCCCAGCCAGATATTATGATGATTCCAACAGGAATTTCAATGCTCTCTCGTTTTTTCAAAAGAAATAAAGAAATTGCCAGAAGGCCTAAAAATAAGAAACAAAGATGGAAAGAGAGTAGCTAGGATTATAGGATTATAAGTGTGAGCCAGCAGAACCCAGTTCACTCTCCCTCTCCCTCTCCCTCTCTCCTTCCTGCCACCTTATTTCAACATTAAGTATAGACTTGCCCAAAACTTTCCTTTTGCTAAATAAATACTGTCCCAAATATTTTGGAGCAAGTTTCCCCAGTTTAAAACCATCATGTATCCATTTCTGTATTGTTTCTTTACTCAAATTGTGTTTCGTCAAAGAAGATTTTTTTTCAGAAGCTCCGATTATTTTATTCGTTTGACTAGTAATAAATTAAGTATAATTAAAAACATTTAAACTATGTAAGGTAGATGCAGGGGAGAATTCCAATTGTGCAACTCCCTTGAACAATGCAATCATAATATTTAATATACATATGTAAAAATGCAACCACGTAAATTGAGGGGATGAGTGGTGTTGGGAGAGATGGGTGACATTAATCAAGATGTACTATACTCACAAAATGACATGTTGAATTGAAACCCATGTACAACTACTTGAAAAACATATAAAAGAAAAAGAAAAAAATTAACTACAAATAGAAGCATTCTACGAAGATTCCATTCTACTGGTGCTAAGAAATTCTAGCAATCCTCCCTCTTCTTTTTCTCCTTCTCCTCCTTCTTTGTCATCTTTTTTTTTTTTTTGCCAGTCCTGGAGTTTGAACTCAGGGCCTGAGTGCTGTCCCTCAGTTTTTGTGCTCTAAGCTAGTGCTTTACCACCTAAGCCACAGCTCCACTTCCAGGGTTTTTGGTGTTTCATTGGAGATAAGAGTCCCACAGACTCCTGCCCAGGCTTGGCTTCAAACAGAAATCCTTAGATCTCAGCATCCTGAGTAGCTAGGATTACAAGGGTGAGCTATAGCCTGGCTACAGGTTGTATTTTTAGAAAATGCCTTAAGTGTAGTATAGTGATGGAGCTTAATATAAACATGGTGTAAGTGTAACACACATATCAGTGTTTTTAAATTCTTGAACTTTCCTTATACCTTATACTCAATAATTTATACAAGTGACACCTTATTTAATACATTCTACAGAACTATAGAATCTCAGAACTAAAAATTGGAAGGGGCTATGTTTCAAATTAACAAATTAACATATTTTCGTTGATAAGGCAACAAGGGTTTGCCCAAGTCATATAACCAGCAGAGGGCATTGCTGGTCTAGAAACCTAGCCTGACACAGGGGACGTGCTTCAGCTCAATTTTTCTCAAACTCAGATCTGGGATCCCTGGGGGTCCTAAGCTATATTCTTCAATTTATGTAAATAGATTTAAATCTCAGAAGCCTGTTTGTGGTGTGTGTGTGCTCACCTAATAGCCTGGTGATTTCAGAGCTTACATTTGGCTTTCTAATGAATTTGAGTAGGGAAAGCTAAATGATATCCTAACACACAAATAAAAGTTCTGTGGTAGTCTGAAGAAAGAAAAGTAGTAATAGGGCTGGGAAGGTGGCTCAGTGGTAGAGTGCTTGCCTTGCATGCCTAAGGCCCTGGGTTCGATTCCTCAGCGCCACATAAGCAAAAAGAAAAAAGCCGGAAGTGGTGCTATGGCTCAAGTGGTAGAGCGCTAGCCTTGGGCTGAAGAGCTGAGGGTCAGCGCCCAGGCCCAGAGTTCAGGCCCCACGACCGGACCCAAAAAAAAAAAAAAGAAAAGTAGTAATACATCACATCAAAACTCTTTATATGAGGTAAAGACAAGTCAAACTAAAAACCAAGGAAGTGAATTCCATTTTACATTTCAAGCTATGAGGTATATTAAGAAAAGAAGAGGGCTGGGAAGGTGGCTCAGTGGTAGAGCGCTTGCCTTGCATGCCTGAGGCCCTGGGTTCAATTCCTTAGCACCACATAAGCAAAAAGAAAAAAGCCGGAAGTGGCACTGTGGCTCAAGTGATAGAGCGCTAGCCTTAAGCTGAAGAGCTGAGGGACAGCGCCTAGGCCCAGAGTTCACGACCCCACAAAAAAGAAAAAGAAAAGAAGAACCTTTGTTATGTTTATTAACACTGCTATTTAAAATTACTGGGCTAGCAACTTCATTTAAATATAACCCATGAATGGATGTTTTTATAAACAATTCATACCTAGATTTCAGATTGTACAGATTAAATAACACTATGCTAGAATTAACATAAATCAATGTACAAGGTCATCTCACTTTCTAGTGTTAGGTCTTCAAAGTACCAGAGAAACAAATGACAGAGCACAAAGGTGGGCCAACTATGTTACAATCATCAGGGCACTCTTCAGGATTCTACTGATTATCATTCCTGCCTTGTGAAGAGAACCAAATACTATTAGGCAGACTCTAGTCCTGCATCTCATGGAAGTAGCTGTGTGGTCTCCTGCTTAAATCTGTTTAACAAACATGATATTTTTGGACTAGCTATACATTTAATGTGCATTTGAAAAAATTCTAATTAATATGTGAAACCTGTACTTCACTGACATAGAATCCATGATCGAAGTTTAAAAACTAGGTCAACTTTAAGAAAACTATACAAGTGGTATGCAGATAGGGCAAAAATTGGGTGAAAGGTTTTCAAATGAGTAAAGTTAAAAATGAGTGCACATGCAATTTTAAAATATGCTTTTGAGCCTATGCGTCTGCTTGTACTATAGTATTCTGAAGGTTATAGGGAGGCTTCATTGGTGTCAAGGGATTCAGAACAACTTTGAATAGATTTTAGTGTGCATGTTTGAACAGGGTTTGGGGCAAGCTGGGGCTTTTGATAATTGAGCTATTTACTGTTCTATTACTCCTGTGGTAAATTTTATCTGAACAAACTTAGGTATTAGAGATCAAGTTGGACCATATATATTTGGAATGATAATCTCTAGGTTCTTTTAATTTGCCATCACATAAAAACTCTTAGGTTTGACAAGGTATACTTGCCTGTAAAAAGCACAAAGAAAGCTAAGTGCCAGTGGCTCATATCTGTAATCCTAGCTACTTATGAGGCTGCGATCTGAAGATCTTGGTTCAAAGCCTGCCCAAGCAAAAAAGTCTGTGAGACTCTTATCTCCAATTAACCACCTAAGAGCCAAAAGTAGAGCTGTGGCTTAAGTGATAAAATGCTAGCCTTGGAGCACCCAGGTCCCATGACTATTACACATGCACACATACACATACACAGCATCATTGGCTTGCACTAAATTTTCATCTGTGATTCCTCATCATATTGTTGCCTCACAGCAAAAGGCTGTTGACCAAGATGGGACTTGTTTTTGATCCTGAAGACATGAAATCAGAGGTTTGCCTTTGGTAGCTACGTCCAGACACTAGCCTCCTAAGCATTTTACAATGTCCCTTTCTGCAATATTTTACAGGTTTAAATTTGTGGTATGAATACAAAATAACCAGACAGAATTTTTCACAAACATACCATAATGTCTGCATTGAAATATGCTTTATTTCAAAATAAAAGGAGTTAAAACATTTTGAATACACATTCTCATTGGGTCCTCTCCTATTTCCAGAACCTTTTGTTTTTTCTACTTTGCTTGTTCTCAAATTACATTCCCCTCAGTTTATTAACAAATACAGTACCACTTGCTGAGTGCTACCATGCACCAGACATAATCCCCATATTTCATTTTACCTTTAAAATAACACTATATAGTACTGTAATTCTATTTTATAGGTAAGGAAACTGAAGCCCTACAAGGTAATTTGTATAAGGCAAAGCAACAGTTTTCCAGTTTTGTAGGATTTTAGTGGTGAGCTCTGGAAAATACCTCCTATGCTTCTGCCTACTCTTGCCTTTCTTCACCTGCCTTCAGCACTTATCTTCTTAATGCCTCCAAAAGGGAGCTGTGCTGAGAGTGGACTAGAGCTGATGACCGCAAGGAAAGGACTATGTGGCTGGAAGGGCTGTGAGCCTAGGCAGAAATAGAGCACTCAGGAAACAGAACTCAGCTTTGCAGGCATAATGGCCTGAGTGAAAACTTTGACCCTGTACCATTTGATTTCAAATAGGTCACTAGAATCTGAGGCCTTCTAGAGGTGAGAGAGGGAGAATAAATTTTAGTATTTCATTCATGATCCAACTTACCTGTCCACAGGTAGGTGCTATACAGGGAGCTGTACAATAGAACAAACACCAAAATTTGTCCAACAAAATTTTTTTCCTTAACAAAATTCCATATCATCATTCCAGCACAGACAATGGACTAGAGAAAAAATAATTAAAAGACTTTGTAAATAGCTAATACAATCATATAATGCATTCACAAAAATAACTTTTAAGCTAGTCATAAAAGTTTTATTCACAGAAAATATTACAAACCAGTTATACTAAAATTACATAAAAGTATGTATTCAATAAAAGCAGATAATGACTATATCCTAAATATCAACTTTATATTTAGTAATGGTTTACATAGAAATTGCTAAGCTTCTTTTTGTTATGATTTGAAAGATGTAAAGATTTAACTAGAAAAATAAGATTGAGTTCAGTTTTTGATTAAAAATGAAATTTGTATGAAAATGCAATGATTATCAATTTCCATTATTAGCCTTCTTATTATTTAAGACTTACTGCAGTATTTAATTTACCCGTCATAAGCAGATTATAATCAGAGTATAATTGTATGTATATTTTTCCAATTTTATAACTGAAAAAAACATTTCAAAGGAATTTTCTCCTGTTCAGTGGAATAGTTTCCCTGTAAAACATAGTCCCATAAGTTTAAAAATATCTACAGGTATACTAACCTGAGCAATGAGCAAATTAGTAGTAAGCATATGAGGAAGCTGTTTATATTTCTTACTCAAGAGAAGAATAGCCAGAGACCAGATCTTAAAGATAAAAGGTTCAAAAGTTATTGCTGCTTCTGAATCTTTATAATTATTCTTAACTACACATTAATTAACATTATTTTATCTAGAGGTACTCGATCAAACCCAGGGCCTCCTGCATGCTAAGTAAGGGCTTGGAGCTATATCTGCAGCCTCACGATTATATCCTTAAAGAATCTTCTTTATTTTACTTCAGAAAGAAATTCTATTGTGTTATTTATTTTAACCTATATTAAAAGAAACATTCCAAAAGAATGTTGAAGTAGGGCTGGGAAGTTGGCTCAGTGGTAGAGTGCTTGCCTTGAATGCATGAGGCCCTGGGTTCGATTCCTCAGCACCACATAAGCATTCACAATTTATGTACAGATATGTTGCTTAATTCCAGAATCTTTGGAGCTAGTGTAGTTATCTCTATATTATGATTTTCAAGTTTCATTCTATTGTAGTATGAAACTGTTTTGTATGAACTCTGTACTTCTTTCTTTGTATTTTGACCCAAATGTAGTTTATCTCAGAAAATGTAATTTGGTATGAAATAAACTTATATTCAACTAAAAAAAAAAAGCAGAAAAAGCCAGAAGTGGTGCTGTGGTTCAAGTGGTAGAGTGCTAGCCTTGAGCTGAAGAGCTGAGGGACAGCGCCCAGGCCCAGAGTTCAGCCCCTACGACGGACAAAAAAAGAAAAAGAAAAAGAATGTTGAAGTAAATTATCTATCCAAAGTAAAATAAAAAAGCATGAGGAGACACCATGGTAAACTAACTGTCCAAAAATTACAAGTCTTTAAGAACTAATACCTTACCAGGATTATGTTCATAGTATGTGTACTTTTAGTGGCTAGACTGGGACAAAGGATCACGGCCAATTAGTCAGGAAAGGAATCTTAGTGGGAGATGTAGCTATAATACACTATTCTAAATTTTTCCTCTTTTGATTTCTATCATAGTGGTTGATGAGGAATCCAAATTCTAGGTTATCTTACTTCAAAATACTAAAAGCAATCTTTCACATTTCTCAAAAGGATTGGTATGCACTCTCTGTCTCTCTCTTTCTTGCTCTCTCTCAGTCATGCATGCTAAACAAATGCTCTATCACTCTACTGCTCAGCTATACTCCAGTCTCCAGGAATAGCCATGTAATTATGCTAGTCAAATTTCTTCTTTTTCCCTGCACTGCTAATAGAAGTCTGGACTGTTTCTCCCCACATTTCTCCTTATCAGTGGACATATATTCTTTTATTTTTTCTTTTGGTGTCCGGTTGTGGGGCCTGAACTCTGGGCCTGGGCGCTGTCCCTCAGCTCTTCAGCTCAAGGCTAGCACTCTACCACTTGAGCCACAGCACCACTTCCGGCTTTTTTCTTTTGGCTTATGTGGTGCTGAGGAATCGAACCCAGGGCCTCAGGCATGCAAGGCAAGTGTTCTACCACTGAGCCACCTTCCCAGCCCATCAGTGGACATATATTCTTAAGAATATGTGTGAAAATTTTCACTGTGTTAAATTTTTCACTAATTGTGCATTTATTGTTGACAATATGCACATTCCTTCCCATCTCCTTTCATTTAACATTAAATACTGACCTTTTCCCATCCAGAATACTGCTTGAATTCAATAGGCAATTTGATCTATAAGAAGACCTAGTTGCTAAATGCTTGATTTCAGTTAGACATATCTAATTAGAGAAGTTACTAAAAGTTTAATTAGTATTAAATATGTAGTTGAACATCATTCCAAAGATCTCTTCTGAGATCTACATGATCACCAACAGCTCACAATGGTATCGTGATTCAGAGTTGATCAAATATCATATCATATGGACAAGCTTTAGTTTTCTGTATCTCATAAGAAGTTAGAGGCTTGAACTCAGGGCCATGGTTGCTGTCCCTAAGCTTTTGTGCTCAAGGATAGTGCTCTGTTACTTTGAGAAACAGCTCTAGTTCTGGCTTTTTGTGATTAATTGGAGATAAAAGTCTTATAGACTTGCCTGTTGGAGCTGACTTTGCACCAGATCTCAGCCTCCTGAGTAGCTAGGATTACAGGCATGAGTCACCAGTGCATGGCTGATTTTTCCACATTTTTATTAGAGGGTTTTACAAAAGGATTTAATTTTGACACATCTATATATGTATATATCTTGATCAGGCTTACCTCCTTCATCACTCTTCCTTATCCCTTTCCCTCCTTCCCAAACTAATTTCAATTGTTCAATCTTCTAATTCGTCATGGTTCTATCTTTACACAAGTACATAAAGTATTTTGATTGTATTTGCTCTTGTTTGCCCTGTTTGTCCTCTCCCCTCCCACTTGTACCCACATCCCAGACAGGACCTGAAAAACTAGATTTTAAATCTTTATCAATTATCAGTCATTCTCAGACTCATTCAGTGGTTTCCATTAAATTTTAAGTGGAAATATACTCACCAAGGAGACCAAGCTGATAATACTTATGTCAAAACTGACATTCTGGATGGCATATGCCAGTGGCTTAGGGTCCATAGTGGGAAAGGTCAGTAACCAAGCAGAAACATACATGATTGGAGCAGACACCAATGTGCTTATTACCATCCCTGAAGTTATCTGTGAAAAATGAGACCAAACTGAGGAGTCACACTTTCACTTACACAATCACCTTAAACTTAAATGCCTGCCATATACTCTGACAAGACATTATAGAATCCAGCATATTGTCTAATATTTCTCCTTTCTGAAAATCCTTAAAAGAAACTGCAGTAAGTTTTCCTCTTCTAATTGATGCTCCACATTTATTTACACATAAGAAACACATTAGAAGTGTCACTATTGATAATCATCTTCTAGGCTATAGAAAGTATAGATCTGATTAAACTTATGAACAATTTCCTTCCATACCACTTCATAAAATATAGGGCAAAAAAAGCAACTTGCAAATAGAAAAATGACTGTACAAATAGTTTACACATTAAATAAGGGAACTGACCTTACCAAATAATTTAGTTCCTTAATATTACATTTCAAAATCCTTATTGTCATAGGTAGTATGTATAATACACTTAGTCACTGTTAATAATTTGGGTTTGATTTTAGCTGTTTGCTGCAGTTGATTGTGTGCTATTTTGTATTTGATGACTGAATTATCAAGAAATAATAGAATTACATAACATGAAGGTAGGGACATGAAAGAGAAAATGGGAATAACAGAGGAAGAGGTGACATTAATTAAGAAGCATTATAGTTATAAACTGACTTATGGAATTGTAACTCCTTTGTACAACTATTTAATAATAAATAAATAAAAGTTTTTTTTTCTAAAAGTTTCAAAAGTTACCCTCCTATAAATAACTTTAAAACTTAAATGTAAGAATAGAAACAAAGTACTTGAGAATAATAAAAAAAGCATGGATGAATTAAAAGCCCAGATTAAATAACTTGTTATATAATGTTACGTGATGCCACCTTCTTCACAATGAAGTAGCTTAGAGGTATCAAATTCTCCTTAGAAGAATATTGTGTTTTATGTTTTTAAAAGATCATCTACTTATCACACAAACAATCAAACGTAGAAAGTAGTATATACATACAATCTCTACTTCCATGTTGAACTGTGTTGCAAAGATAGCCACTCCTGGTGCTACAGGGAAGACCCCATACAAAAATGCATAATTCGATAAACTTGTATGGTTCACTACACTGTCACCCTTGTCCAAGAGTTCCACCATTTCTCTGCACAGAAGTGGCAGCACCAGGCTGAAGAAAAAAAAATGCATAATTTACTTGGTGTTAAAGCATTCTTGTCCCTAAGTAGTAGATTGCTATAATGAATAACATTCTGTTTTTCTTCTCTTGCCCAGAGGTGTATGTTTTCATATATATATATGTATATATATATATATATATATATATATATATTTGCATGTAGATATTCTGCATATGACTGTGCCTCTGGACACTTTGTTGAAAGAATTAAGAACTCAGTTGGGAACCATTTCAAATGTAACAACATTCAGGAACTAGAAGGGGAAAATTTAGATTAAAAAATTTACAGTTAATAACAATGCCTCTCAATAAAATTCTCCAAAAACAGTAGAAAAATATAATACAATTAGTTCTTTGTGAATTAAAAGCAAGATTTAGTAAAAGAAACAAAACAATGAGGTAGAACAAAAATGAGAAATGCAAATTTGTAGAGTCAATTATTAAATTCTTCATGATTCCATGGGTGTAACACTAAATAGCTAAACTAATGGACCTTCTTTTAAAAACAGAACAATTTGGTTGATAATATTTCTCTGGCAGCATCTGCAAAGCAGCTCAGGATGGAGTAAAGAACTACTTTTATATGTGCATTTTTTATTAAAAAAGAAATTAATGTCTATAAAAATCAAAGATTCAGGGGAAAAAAATCTTAGCAGTACCAGGGATTGAACTCAGGATTTGTTCTACTGATTGAGTCTACTATACAAGCACGCTAACAATTCAGCAATGTCTCCATTTCAGAAAAAAATTAATTGGAATACTTATAAATTGAAGCTGATAATACTCTTACTGTTATAAATGTTTTTACAATGTCAGCACTAATTAATATTTTCTTTCTAAGAAACATAGCATCATCATAAATAATTTTCAAAACTTAAGTTGATTCTTATTTTAGAAACATAAATACAAATCATACTGAGTTTAACTACATGAATTTAACTGTTTATTCAAGAGCTGAATTCTATAGCTAAGTATGTCTCAAGTACTTTGGGTTAACACCATAATAAAATTATGTCAATTGTGCCATGAAGTATAAATCTAGAGCAAATGAGCCAAGTCAGCTGAAGTATTATTAACAGGGGAGCTAAAAAGAATTTATTATTTGCCATACTAGAATCTGATCTCTAATGATACTCATATTGACTTGCCTATACTTTTAGAAAGCTCAGCCACTCAGATATTTGAAGAAGAGTTTATATTAAAATTATTACTCATAAATTAAAATGCTTTTAACTTTAGGATTTTAATGGATTTTGGAATCCTGAGAAATTCTTTTAAAAATATGACCTGGGGTGCTGGGCACCAGTGGCTCATGCATGTAATTCTAGCTACTTAGGAGGCTGAGAATACGGGATAGGAGTTGAAAGCCAACCCAGGCAGGAAAGTCTGTAGACGTATGTCCAATTAACCACTCAAACACAAAAGTGGAGCTGTGGCTCACATGGTAGAGCTCTAACCTTTAGCAAAAAAAAAATGAGGGACAGTGCCCAGGCCTTGAGTTCAAGTCCCATGACCAGCATACATACACATAAAAATGACCAAGGGAATGAGGATGTAGCTCAGTGGTAGAGTGATTACCTAGCATGTGCAAAGTCTGAGTCTGATCCCCAACCATGCATAAAGAGATAAATAAGTAGATAAGGAAATAAGTAAGAGGTTTAACTGGGACAGTAGGAGATATTAAGTATACTTTATATAAAAAGTAAAAATAAAAAAGTTGAAGGTATCTGGGTGGTAGTTCATATGTATGTAATCTTAGTTATTCAAGAGGCTGAGATCTAAGAATCACAGTTCAAAGTCAGCCTGGGCAGGAAAGGCCATGTGATTCTTATCTCCAATTAACCACCTAAAAACTAGAAGTAGAGCTGTGGTTCAAAGTGGTAGAGCACTAGCCTTGAGCAAAAAAATTCCGGGACAGCACCCTGAGTTCAAGCCCCATGACTGATTAAAAAAAATTTGAAGGTACACTAGTATTCTATAATCTTGATAGTAAAATGAAAGAATAATCTACATGGACAAAGAAATTATTTTTTTAACCATACACTAACATCTCATTTTCCTTTAAATCACAACCTCTGTATAGGGAAAGATTAATTTTCAGTTGCAGACATATCCCAATAAGCTAAACAAGGATTTTATAAAGTACAATTTTCCAGGTTGAATAAGCAAAACTTACAGTTTAGCTGTGATGAGAAGAGTTAGTACAACAAATGCTGATTTCTTCAATCTCCTTAATTTTCCTACCATTGTAAGACCAAGATAAAATAGGGCTGATCCAGAAAAAGAGTTTGCAAGTCCATCAAGAAAATTTTCCATATATACAGGCACCTTTTTATCAAGAATAAAATTGAAAGCAATGCCAATGAAGACCATAAATACTATTGGGTTCTGTAACACACGTAGAAATCCAAGTCCCACAATTTTTACTTTGTTTTGTGAAGCATTTTGATTTTCTTTAGATTTCTGGATTTCACAGAAGATAAACCCTATAGGGTTTAGCATCATAAGAGATATTGGTGCCACCAAATAAATGTACTGAAGATATTCTGGGTATGTAGTTTGATACAAAGCTTCAACTGCAAGATAAGAATTGAAATTAATTTAAAAAGATTACACAGAAATATATAATATGTGTATAACATTTTCTCTGCATAATTATAACATATTGCAAATTAATCTCAATAGTGCTAATAATCTCACTATTAGTAACAAAACTGAGGAGGGAAAAAACTTACTATATTAAATCTTATCTAGTTTATAAAATGACAACTTTAAAAATTATCTTTTGTAGAACTTAATTTGTGGTCGGGCGCTGGTGGCTCATGCATGTAATCCTACCTACTCAGGAGGCTGAGATCTGAGGATGGAGGTTCAAAGCCAGCCCAGGCAGGAAAATCTGTGAGACTCTTATCTCCACTTAATTACCAGAAAACCCGAAGTGGCGCTGTGGCTCAACTAGTACAGAGCTCACCTTGAGCTGTAGAGCTGAGGGACAGAGCCCACGCCCAGAATTCAAGCCCCATAACCGACAAAACAAAACAAAACAAAACAAAAATATCCCCAAAAACCCACCTAATTTGTAGAGGCTAAGATTAGTCTTCAAAAAGAAGGGAAGAAGAAAAAAAAAAAAAAAGGGAAGAATTGTAAAATTTTGAAAAAAGCAATTCAAAATAAAAGTCTAGTAAATAATAAACTAAGTATTTAAGTAGAATGAACACCAAAGTGGTGTCCACACTATATAGGAATAGACATGAAGATGGAAGATAGCTTACAGAAAGGAGAAAGGTAAGAGACTAAAAGCTCCTATGAACTATAAGAATTCAGTACAGTTGCGAGTTTAGGTGTTAAGAATTAGTCAGTGAGCTACTGAATTATGTATTTTTCCTGATGACTAGGCTGAGGATATGGTCTTGTAAATTTGTGGCTGAAAGGAAGACATCACTGGAGATGAAGAGACTAAGGAACTGAAAGATCAGACAATTGCTGGATAATTGATAAGGATGCTAAAAGTCAAACAAGAGAATGGCAAAGCCAGACCTTAAAGTCTGTAATGAATAAAAGGGAATGACTACAATCCCAGTATATAACAGAAATGATCAGCCAACTAGCAAACCGGTACAACATTCAAAATAGTTGTTAACAAAAGAGTACAGAGTAATAGCCTAGAGTAGTACAAGGATGCTAGGAGGATTAGGAGGCATGTCTTAACTCCCTTTGTGCATATGGTATGTAGGCTATAGGTAAGAAAAGCCTCGGGGCTGGGAAGGTGGCTCAGTGGTAGAGCGCTTGCCTTGCATGCCTGAGGCCCTGGGTTCAATTCCTCAGCACCACATAAGCAGGAAAAAAAAAAGCCGAAAGTGGTGCTATGGCTCAAGTGGTAGAGCGCTAGCCTTGAGCTGAAGAGCTGAGGGACAGCGCCCAGGCCCAGAGTTCAGGCCCCATGACCAGACCCCCCCCCAAAAAAAAAAAAAAACTGGAGGAGAAAAGAATGGAGTCACATAAAGGTGTATCTAATGCAAATTCAACTATACTTTCTAAGGAACACATAAACTTCATTTTGTTTTTCTTAGAATTTTCCCAAGTACAAACTCATTGTTCTCCTTGGTGTTCATTGAGGAACAATGCTTGAGAGAAAAATGTTAGATTTTTGAGAAATGGTATAACATAAGGTATATATGCTGTATTATATGGGTGATGTAAGAGACTTTTCAAGCATTTGAAGAGCACATGATGGCTTTAGAACCTAATGACTGCACAAGATGTGTTTGCCAGGCTGGCGCTTTTTTCTGCTAAGGGCCATTCAGATAATGTCATTTGAAGGCAATACAAAATTATCAATACAAAGCAACTGCCATGGGTGGCTAATGAAAAATTATATGTCTATTCTGTATAAAAATAAATGTTTTTTTTGGGGGGTCCGGTCATGGGGCTTGAACTCTGGGCCTGGGCGTTGTCCCTCAGCTCTTCAGCTCAAGGCTAGCGCTCTACCACTTGAGCCACAGCGCCACTTCTGGCTTTTTTTCTTTTTGCTTATGTGGTGCTGAGGACTCAAACCCAGGGCCTCAGGCATGCAAGGCAAGCGTTCTACCACTGAGTCACCTTCCCAGCCCAATCAAATGATTTTTAAGGGCCAGATATTTCCCACCTGTAAAGGGAAGTGTGTTAAATTAAACTTCTAGTAGTTACCTGGTGGAGATGAAGGTGGATTGCTAGGTTAAGGGCGCACAGCAACTTACAGCTATGGAATAAACAACTTGGTTTCTAGGCATGTTTTTGGATATGGGTCCCGAAATTACACAATCCAAAGCACACAAAAGTTGATTCATAACTGATTTGAAGTTGACAAAGATAAAAGGTGAACTGCCACAAGTGATTCCAAGGAGAGACTCAATCATGTGAAAAAAGGTAAATATTAGGTTTCTCAATTTACATTGAGACAAAGTGACATAGGTAGGAAAATGGTTGTTTACTTACTAGGATACATAAGTAGAGTTAATGTCATCCACGTGACATGTTAACATTGCATAACCAGATTATATAACCTTTAGAAGTTCACCTTAATCTCATTAGCCAAATCTACTTTTATAAGGTCATATTTTTTCCAGTGAAACACATATGTGGGTCTATATTATCGCAAAATAAAGCAGAAGTTAAAACATATTTGATTACATAAAATTTCATGAATTCTTTTAAATGATTTCTAATTAGATATGCTAGTTTTATACCTCTTAATAGTTTTCTTTCATGTTTCTTAAGATTTGCTTAAATTAAAATCAGTGCTTTTGTCAATTATTCCCAGATGCTACCCTTCTGATTGGATCTTCCTTCTCTAAGGAAGATACCTGCTTACCTGCTTACCTGTCCATACCTGCTTACCACTTAATTTCAGAGTATTTATTTTAGAAATGTCTTGTGTTTTCCATTTGGTTTCAAGAATGTTTCCTCAGTGGTTTCACTATGATACAAAGGTTTGTTTTGACAACTTACAGCTGCAGTTCTGTTTTCTAATCAGAGTCCCTAATATTAATGCCCTTTATAGTAATCTACTTTCCTGGCACATTAGTAATCATCACTTCATAATAGATTCTCAGTTTTTAAAAGAGCTCAATACAAACTAGGGCATCAGTTTTTATTCTGTAATCCTCCCTTATCTTTGGTTTTACTTTCCATAAGTTCAGTTACCTAAAGTCAACAAGAAGGATCATGTTGTACAGTGAAATACTATTAGCTATTGGTGATCTCACATTGTGCCTAATTTATAAATTAAACCTTATCAGTTATGTACATATGTATAAATAAGACAAAACCATGTGTCTAGTGTTCAGCTCTATCCATTGGAGATCTTGTAATATAGTCCTGGCAGATAAGAGAATTACTATAATTAACCTCTTTTGCAGGATGTATTTGTGTTTTTTCCTTTTGATTCCTTCTATTGTTATAAGATTAAAAAGTTTCAAAATTAGATCATTTAATGTGTTCACTAACCTGTGTTCTTCTGGGTTTTCTCAACCACCTCCCTAATCCATTTTAGCCACTGCTAATAGTAACTAAAAAGTCATTATCTTCCAAAAGTTAACTTTTTCCCAGAGTTATAAATCGCTCCCCCATCCCTTTTTTTGAACAAAGCCAGCCTTCACAATTGGCCTTTTACTTATCCAACCCATCCTTTATTACTCCATAATGCAAAGACTCCATCTGCTGTTAATTTCATAGTCACATCAAACACCATGCTCACAACTACTAGATTATGAGCAGATCTTATCATCACCCTCTATTTTTGGAATCTTTTCTTACTTATCTGAATGTGCCTACTACATAAGGCAAGTTTCTTTCTCATAGTTCTTGTTTCACCAAATCTTCAATCTGCTTCATTAATCTCTCCTCCTCTGGAATGCTAGGTTACTTTGTGTTATATTAGTACTCTTAAAGAAATTCTAAACTCCTTGAAGGCTTAGTTTTATATTTTAGCATTGTGCTGGGAAAAATCGGAAAATACTTGCTGAATAGAAGTAACTAACCGATTGGCACACGTGCACACACACACACGACTTGTTTGTTTTTAAAGTGCACCTTATAGGATGGGAAAAAATCAACTTTACTAACATTAATTTCCTCACATTCTCATCACTTTCTTGTGTTGAGAATAAGTATAACTTACTCTTAGCAGTTTTCAAGAGTATAAGACATTGTTACCAACTGTAATCCTCAGATCTTTTGACCTTACTTCTCCTAACTGAAATTTTGCATTTTATTTTTTACTTTTGTATACATTCTGAATATTTATAGGACAGAATGCAATTGTAGTCTTTTAACTTTAGGTGAACAAGTATACAAAGGCAAAAGAAATGTAGTCTATTGGGAGAGCAAATAACTATGATTAAATAAATACTTGTAAAATTACTGAAGAACAGGATCCAACACAAGAATTTTAGCCTATTTCTGCCATTCATTTGCATAATTACTTAGCATTACATCTTTATCTATACATTGACAATGCTTTTTTGTTATCAATCTGAAGCTAGCTTTTCAAATTTGAAAATACATGAATACAGTGATCTATATAAGTAAAATTAGATTTATAATCATTACATCTACTATTAAGTTCTAATTAATTAATGATTATAAATAAGGCTCTTGAAGGGAGGGGAAATCCCATTATAAGGAGTTATTATATAGCTTTGAAGAGCTAAGAGATAAAATTAACCACCCACTGTGACTCCTATTTTGATTCCTGCAGGGTTTCAATCTCTAGCAAATAACACAAAGATCCCGACAAGATCATTCTATTATTTAATGGCATATAGTTAAATGCTTCATTTCCTTTCTGTTTACAGTTCAAGCACTAGAGCATAATTATGATTAGTCAGGGCACTTATGCTATCAGCATTGTTTGAAGAATAAATTATAGGACTTAACTATGCCCTATTAGTATCTTTTAATGACAGAGGCAGGGATCCATTCTGATTTGCTGAAATCAACATTTCACTGTGGCAGATTTTTACACTTTCATTTTTCAAAATATCTTTGAAAAGAATTATTCTAAAATATAGTGAGCTCTTTTTAGCCTATAGTAATGTATTACTCTGTCATCTGAGTAAAGATAAATCACTTCAATGTACTTTTATAGACCATTATAATTGGTCTAATTTCTTTTTCCTTTTCTTTTCTTTCTTCCTTCCTTCAGACTGAGGATTGAACCCATGGTCTTGAGTATGGTAGGCAAGTGATATACCACTGAGTGACATTGCCAGACCCAAATACATTCTTAAAAAGGACATTTATTATAACCTATCATTGATGTTCCTCTGTAAGCAAGATTCTGGCTTCCTGGGAGAGGCTGTGAAATAAACACAAAGGAAGGATTTCTCTCTAGCTACAGAGTTTTCTGTTCATTCTGTACAAAGATGGGTACAGATAGCAATACTAAATAAGTTCACTAGGAACTGCTATTCAGGCATTCAGTTCTGTGCCATACCTTCCAATTTCCAGCTATATGAGAAAGTTGTTTATATTACTAGTTTTTAGTAACATTGGCATCTACAACCTGATACTTGCAAGAGTTCTTATTCCTTGTGAGTAAAAACAAACAACAAAGATTATAACTCAAAATGACAAACATACTCCGGGAAAATTAGGTTAGCATACTGCTAGGAATATTATTACCAGATTCACCAATATAATATGGGATATAAGAAAAATAGTGGCTAAGAGGCATTGGCTGTAATTCTAGCTATCATTAGACTGAGATATGAGTATCATGGTTCAAATCCAGCTCAGGCAGGAAAAGACCATGAGACTCCTATCTCCAAATAACCACCAAAAATCCCGAAGTAGAGCTGTGGCTTATGTAGAGCCACTAGCCTTGAGAAAAAAGCTCAAGCCCCAGAATACACACACACACACACACACACACACACACACACACACACACACACACACACATGCACACACACCCATTTGCATGCACACCCATAGATAGTGATGAACCAGATGCTGGTGGCTGATACCTGTAATCCTACTCAAGGCCATCTGGAGCAGAAAAGTCCAAAAGACTCTATTTTCAAAATAACCAGCCATTAAGCCAGATTGAAGGTGTTACTCAAGTGGAAGAACACCAGCAGTATGAAGCCTTGAGTTTAAACCCCAGCACTGGCAAAAAAAAAAAAAAAGTGATAAAAATAGCTGATAATATAATTTTTATTTGGAAATTCTTTTTTGTTATGAAAATGAACTTACCTAGATATTTTCCTACTATAGTTCACTTTATGGAATATTGTTAGAATACTGCAAGGCCGAAGTGTTTTTATTCTGCCTGAAACTACTGTATTACAAGGGCTAGTTGGGTATTCTAAGATCACTCAGCATGTTACGTAACTGTGGCATAAGAGAGTGCCCAGGATTTAGAACAAGAAAACCTAGGTTTAAGTCTCACCTATTAGTTGTATAATCTTGGATAAGACAATCTTTGAAAATGAGAGTAATAATATCTGCCCTATTCAAGTAAGGTAAGTATATAAGAAAGTATTTTGTAAACTATAAAGTTACAAATGTTAGTTCTATTTAGAGATAAGTATATAAGAAAGTATTTTGTAAACTATAAGGTTACAAATGTTCATTCTATTTAGTTAGGAGCTTACTGAGCTGGAAACAGCAAATACACGGCCCTAGTACCATCACACCCTAGTACCATCACAAAAAGTCTATAGTTAAGAGTGAACCAGTCAAAACAAACCCTTAAATATGTATTTTAATGTTTTTGTTTCTTTCATGCATGTGTATCTAACGCATTTATAAGATTATTTCTTTGTTGCTTTGTATGTCCCTCCCCCACAGTGTAACCCCCGCTTTCACTATATTTGATGTCAGTATAACATGTGGAGGAGATGGGGACAAACAAGTCATTTAAGGATTCAGGTGGACCTGTTGCAACAATGAGAAGTACAAAATGTCATGTCAAAACCAGCTTTACAATGTCGGTGTGGGGGGAGGGGGAGTATGATTGGGTGGGGGGGAGGGGGGAGGCTGGGAAGGGAGGTGAAGGGTAAACAAAGGAGGAGGCTGCAATAATGTATGCATTATTCTGCCCATGTAATTGTAACCCCTCTGTACAGTATGTTCTCAAATAAAATAAAATAAAATTAAAAAAAAAAAAGAGTGAACCAGTCTATGAGAGCATCACAATATACTTCTAGCTTATGTCTAAAGTAAGATATAGCAATATGAAATATTTAATGCTGTGGTACTGAGCACATCTCCTTAAACTACAAACACAGTGGCCAATCTACATGATTAATTCTCTTGAAGAAATAGACATACATACAAACCCTTTATTCTCTTACTTCCCAAAGTCTTTATTTCATCTTAAAATTTAGTAACCTTAAAGGAACACATACCTACTTTCTTATTATTCATAGCTTAGTTACCTAATAGCATAGATTGTATTTTCCATCTTAAGCTTCCTGCTTTACTTATCAGTTATTGGATTTCTTTGGCATTTTTCTCTTTCTGTTAAGCAAGGTAGTGGAAGGTCAAAGGTGGACAAAAGCAAAAGGTATAGTTCACTGGAATATTTTTGGTGCCAGTGGTGAAGTAAATTAGGAGTGGGAGAAGAAGATAAAACTACTGAAAAAGAAACTTGAAGAGGGCTCAGGGCACAAATGGTAGAGTACCTACCTAGCAAGCATGAGACCCTGAGTTTCAACCCTAGAACTGCCAAAAAAAAATGAAGAAGGAAGAATATAAGCAAGTTAGTTAGTTGAAAGTTAATGGTAGATTTGAATTGTCAATTCAATATTCCATTCAAGCCTGCACAGAAGAGATGCATCATCAGAGAGGTCTTAAGTAACCACACTACCTCAACTAGCATCTCTTCATTCCTCTACACTATTTACTTTTATGGCCCTTGTTACCATCCATTTGGATTTTAACTTTAATTTTATTATTTGGCCCATGAAAATGTAAATTCACTGTTTAAGAATTTTGTTCAGGGCTGGGAAGGTGGCTCAGTGGTAGAGTGCTTGCCTTGCATGCCTGAGGCCCTGGGTTCGATTCCTCAGCACCACATAAGCAAAAAGAAAAAAAGCCGGAAGTGGTGCTGTGGCTCAAGTGGTAGAATGCTAGCCTTGAGCTGAAGAGCTGAGGGACAGTGCCCAGGCCCAGAGTTCAGGCCCCACGACTGGACAAAAAAAAAAAAAAAAGAATTTTGTTCACAGAAGTATTCTCAGTAGCTGGCTCAGTCACTGGTAGAGAACAATTTCCTGTAAGTGAATGAATAAATATATCCAGAATAGTCAGGTCTTCACATGATAATGCATGACCAAAAAAGCACATAACTGTAATTTTAAAATATAAAAATTAGTTACTAGATATATATTTTCTTTACAAAAGAGTGTCCTGAAAAGTACAATGTTTCTTTTTAGGAAATTCCAACATTACACATTGTTGAAATTCCAAGAGAATGTCAGAAAAATATATATTCATAGAAATGAAATTAGGCTGCTTAAAGTACTGGAAAGGCAAAAATGTCCTCATTGGGTTTTTTTTGGCTAGTGATCAAAATTTATTATTAATTAATTAATTTTTGATTGTGGGGCTTGAAATCTGGGCCTGGGTGCTATCTCTGAGCTCTTCAGCTAAAGGCAAGTGCTCTACCACGAGAGCTACAGAACCATTTTTGGTTTTCTGGTGGTTAATTGGAGATAAGTCTCAGACTTTCCTGGCTTTGAACTGCAATCCTCAGATTTCAGCCTCCTGAGTAGCTAGGATTACAGGCATGAGCCACTGGCACCTGGCTCAAAATTTATTTTTAAATAACAACTATTTGTCTTAGAGCAGTTTCAGATTCACAGAATCATGGACTTCTTTTGCTTCTGTACCTACATGGCTTCAACCATTATCAACATTCTCCATCAGAAGAGGGCATTTATCACAACTGATGGGCCTACATTGACACGTCATTATCACCCAAAGCTCACACATTACGGGTTTTATACATTCTATGGATTTAAACAAATATATAATGACTTGTGTCCACCATTACAGTGCCATGCAGAGTATTTCCACTGCCCTGACATTTCAGTGCTCTATCTATTCAACCATCTCTCTCCTCTAATGTTTGGCATATACTAGTCTATGTAATATGTAGCTTTCAGATTGGTTTCTTTTGCATATAATATTTCTCCATTATGATTTTGTTCTTAAACAAGAATTTAACTTCAACCAAAACTTATATTTATTATCTCCTAAAACACTAGCATTGTTTAGAAACTTGAAATTAAAAAAACAAACAAATAACTTACCTATAGGGTATCCCAATGCAAAGTCATTACTTTGTGTAGCAAAAATAGGGAATAGTCCAGCTTTGCTAAATCGACTCTCAGGACTGGCAACCAATAAGGTTAATATACATACAATGAAAAATACAGAAGCTTTGCCAATTAAGATACTATATAAAAAAGCCCAATCCACATTGGAAAAATTAAGTACGACCATGTTTTTAAATAATAAAGCTGGTAGTGCAAATCTGGAAACAAAATTTCCCAGTCCTTTGGCCTGGGTTGATGTTATAACATTAGCCCTTCCTGCTATATAACCACAAAGTACTATGCCAAAGCATTCTAGTAAAGCTGGGAAAAGCCTTGTTATTGACATTGAAGGCGAGTCATTAGTGGAATTCAATCCATATGTTACTGTTGTAGACAAATTATTGGTCATATTGACTATAATCGTTGAGTTCTCTGCAGATAAATTAGGAAAAGAATCCATTGGCTTTTTTTTTTTTTTACTTCCAATTCCAACCAGATTTCTAGAAAGAGAAAGAGAAAGAGTCAGTATGACAATCAATAACAACAGGTCTAGCTGAAAGTAAACACTGAAATCTACATTTATTTACAGGTTACATGACCAAATAAACATCTGCACTTTCTTCAACTACCACCAGGGAAAAATACAATGGAAAAAATTAGTGAAGTGATGTTACCGACAGCTTCTTTCTTCTGAAAGACAGGCCAGTTCAAATATTTATGCTGTGATTCAATAGTTAAATGATAGACATGGGTAAGATAAGGTCCTTAGACATTATGGCTGCAGTGTTCTTCTAGGTGATCCACCACTGAGCTCAGGAGCAGAGACTCAGAGTCTGCTGAGTATCCACCCCTGCATCCAGTGCCTCTGGAAATTTCATAAGTTTTCAGGGCTACATTAACAAGTCACACTGGAGCCACAGGGTCCCTTCCAGCCTGTGTTCATCTTGAGTGTAAGAAAAAGTACAATAGGGTATCACATCACCTCTGAACCAATAATTTTAGTTTTCTTATGCTTAGAATTCTTCATCTAATAGTAATATTAGTGCTTTTTTCATAGAAACTTTTGACATTATTCAAGTAAAGTTCTTATAATTGAATCACATCTGGCACACAGTAATGACTTAAACAAAGCCAAACACAAACTTTGGTAGAATGTAAGAAAGCCTTGAAAGAAAAAAAAATGATGGTATTCCAGCACCTTCCTCTTAGCATACAAACACAGTCTCATTATGCCAATAGGAATTTTTAATATACAATTCACTCCAAAATGGTTTCTACTTAATCATTACTCCTTCACATGCTTAACCCTTCTTCATCCTCCAAAGTCAATTATATAGTTCAGGGTTGTTTTGTCTCTTCTAGCTCCATAGCTTCTCTAGTTCCATAGCTATGCCACGATTCTTTTTCAAACAGAATCATGATCTTTACCTTTGGGCCACTTTTCTACTCAATTGTACTATGCATTAGAGTGATTTGATGTACTACTATATCATTCTCTAGACTGTATATATCCCAGAAGCAAAGACTATGAATGGTTTTTGCTCACTGTTGTGTCCCTAACATCTAGCATAGTATGCAAAAGACAATAGAAAAAACTTTCCTAATGAATTATAAAATAATAACTGCACTTAAATAAATCTCCTGGCCTTTCGTGGATCAATGTTCTCATTCAGGCACTACCTACTTCATGGATTGACTGTATTTCTGAATGACAAGGTTTTTCACTATAGCAACAAGTTCAAGAACACCAAATGTGGGGCTGGGAAGGTGGCTTAGTGGTAGAGTGCTTGCCTTGCATGCATGAGGCCCTGGGTTCAATTCCTCAGCACCACATACACAGAAAAAGCTAGAAGTGGGTGCTATGGCTCAAGTGGTAGAGTGCTAGCCTTGAGCTGAAGAGCTCAGAACAGTGCCCAGGCCCAGAGTTCAAGCTCCACAACCAGCAAAAAAAAAAAAAAAAAAGAACACCAAATCACCAAATGTGCTCTAAAATGTTCTAAAGATGTTCAGAAAATGTTAAAGAACACAAATTATGTGGCAAAATGTTCTAAAGATGTTCAGAAAATACTGAAGAACAAATTCTGTATGCTACTGAGACAATAACTATCAGACTCTAGCTGCCAGGAACACAATGAACACAAGGCTTGGACACCTCTAAATTAATCAGCTCTTATTAGTAGGTTGAAATTAATATGACAATTGTCCATTTGAATAATTATATTCTGAGTTTACCATCTCAAGTGGCTTTATATAAGGTAGAAAGTAAAAACATTTGTGCTTCCTGAAATGTACAATACCAGGTTGAGTTCTCAGAAACCCACATCATACTAAAAAGACTCAGATGGCAGGCCAAATATCATCAACTAATCCATGGGGGTGTGAGAGAATATTCTCCATGCTTCCCTTGCATAAACTAAGCCACTTAAAAAAAACTTTGTATTTAATCTGGATTAGGAAAAATATTTTTCTACCTGTATTAGATAGGAGCAGTCAATATAAACAAAACCCACAGTTTACAAAACAACCATCAAATTATGTCCTGGGAAAGCTACTAGTTGATACAAATACCTAGACTTGAAGGAGCTGATAAACAATTAAAGGAAGATATTAAGCACTGAAGGATTGGGTACTTGGAATATATTGGTAAAGATGAAGGTAATAAATGAATCTGGCTTTTGGCTGCTCTTTAAAAAATCCTTGTATTTCTTTGCTTGAAATTATTATTCATAGTGAAGTCTCTTATTTAAACTGCATAGGCATAACAATGTAGTCCAATATATATATATATATATTTTTTGGTCGATCATGGGGCCTGAACTTCAGGCCTGGGCACGGTCCCTCAGCTCTTCAGCTCGAGGCTAGCCCTCTGCCACTTAAGCCACAGCACCACTTCTGGCTTTTTATGCTTATGTGGTGCTGAGGAACTGAATCCAGGGCCTCATGCATGCAAGGCAAGCACTCTACCACTGAGCCACCTTCCCAGCCCTCCAAAAATTTTTTAAACCAACAGTTTTAACTAAACTTGTAGTAGTTCAGTGAAAAGAATATAACAGATTCTTAGCCTTAATTCCTTGGGTCACTTCTTTGCCTCCTTAAACCTCAGTTTCCTCAACTTTGAAAGAAGTATAACAACCTCCTTAACATTATGTGGAATGGATTTATGTGTAGCTTATTACAAAGTAGACCTGTAGAAAGTGGTAGCAGTTACTGTTAGAACTATTAGTCCTGATGATAATGACAAGAATGGTAACAAAGCAAATAAGATTCACTATCTTTTGATTGTTCTCCAGACTTCCTTGGCATTCAGAGTTCTCCAACAGATATAAAGGAACAAGCTGTGCCATACTGTTGACCATTTCTGTTTCACACCAACCAATGAAGAAAAGTTGAATTCAGTTGGATCTTAAATGGTTGTTGGCAGTGAAGGAAGAGCTCTTCATTTTTTTCTCGAGATGATTGTCAAAAAGGTGCAGGAATGTCCAGGTTTACTTTTCGATTAATTGAAAATTAAAAGAGCAACTTTTGAAAGTAACCTGTCCCTCTCCAGGTTTCTTTTCATGTGTTCAGTACATCTACTAGGTAAAGGAGTCAAAATAATAAAAAACGACTTCTAAAGTTTTATCTACTCCTATGATAAACATGACCAAAATTATGCTTCCTACAGCATATTTTTAAATGCACAGGAACCACAACAAAGAAAGTTAAAAGTGCATCCAGTCTCTTTATCTATAAAACAAGGCTTATTGCATAATAAACAAGTTGGTCTGTCACAGTAAAAGTCGGGTCCCTGGGGTATATAATGTATACAAATCATTTGGGCACTTCACAGTCGGTTGGCTTAGGGGACATGTCAACAAATCACTAAAATAGTAACTATTATGAAATGAATGTGTGGGGAGGAGGTGTTAACTTTAATAAGAAAGCTTTAAATTCGTACGTAGGCTGTCCATTTCCCCCCCAACACTTGATGTCCTTTAATCCCGTGGGAAAAGCCCAATACACTGTGGCACTATTAAAACCCTCTCCAACATCAACAGTCACCCCATTCATTCACTCCCACTTATTTGCAGGGGACCAAATGTCCTCCCTGGAGATTCATGATGGGAGCGCTGAGCACAGCCTTTCCCCTTATCTACAGGGACAGACTTTGGCCCTCTAAGAGAAGGAATGAGGGGGAGTCCCTATTCTAATAAGACCGCCCAGAACGCAGTTGCCATACAAGCCCGGGAAGGCCAGAATCAAGTGGAAAGGCAGCCTGGGCTCAGAGCAAGGTAGCTGGTCCCCTTCCAGCCCCCAGGAGTCCCAACGTAGGGTGACTAACCTGCTCCGAAAAGGGGGAAGGAGGGAGAAATTTTGCTGGACGCTCCATGTACCTGAGCAGAGGCTGTGGGCACGGGCAGATACTGAAGCCCTTCTGGCGCTCCAGTGACGAGTCCCAGGATGACAGGGTGGGCGCTCCCCGCTGGGGCGCATCCGGCCCCCGGAGGGGCACAAGCCTTCCCCGGGGGTCCCTGCGTCCCCCGGGAGAGTGCTTCAGGCCCCCCGGTGGGCGGGCGCGGGCGGCGGGCCTGAGCTGCCGGGCGCCGGGGAGCTGCCCACCTGCCCGGACCCGAAGGGCGGGCGTGGGGGTTTACCACGGCCGCTAGGCCGAGTCCGGACCCCGGAGGTCCTCGCCCCGGGAGTCTCTCTCACCTGCTAGGTCTGCAACCCTGGAACCGCCAGGAGAAGGGAGCAGGTGCTCTTCGAGGGCCAAACAGCGGGGAAATCCCGTTCATCTCCTGCCCATCGCTCTCTTCTCCGAGCGCGCCGGGCGCGGGTTGCAGCAGCCCGGGCACGTTCGGAGAATGCGAGCTGGGCAAGCCGCTGCGGCCCTGTCAGCTCCGTCCCGCCCCTGCCCTCAGGACCCGCCCCTGCTGCTGTCTCTGAGCCCGCTCCACCTCCAGGCCCCGCCCACAGGCCCCGCTCGGGCTAGCCTCGAGGCCTAAACTACTTAGCCTATGCCCCGCCTGCAGGCCCCGCCCACAATCCTCGAGCCGCACATCCCCGCCCCGCTCCCTGACTCCGCCCCTGACCTAAGACTCTCGCGTACCGCCCATTCTCAGTAATTCCCCGCCCTCAGGCCCCGCCTCCAGAGTGAGATGCCTAACCACGTGACCCTGCCCTCAGACCACGCCCCATAGTCGGGCACTGCCCAGAAGCTACCCCCCCTCTCTCCTCCCTTCGCGCGGGACTTCCGGCCCACTGCCCCCCTCCTCCTGCTACCGCAAGATGGCGGTCGCTGTGTGTGGTTTCTAGGCTTCCTTTCCAATTCCTTGACTCAGGCTCAGGTCCCTCAACCTTCTGTTTAATCTTCAGCCTGGAGTGACCTGCCAGTCCTCTCCTGGTTAGTTTCGTCTTTGCCCAGGAGCGAGGGTAAAAGAAGCTGAACTGGGTCAAATCCTGCCTCCCCCCTTGACCTCAGTGGTGTGACCTTGACTTTGTAAATCAAAAGATTATAAAGGGTAAAGCATTAGTTCAGTACCAGATCTGGGTTTAGAGTAAGGGCTGTGTGGGTGATGGCTTGTATTTCTATTGTGGGGAAGACCGTGGGGATATCCCCACACCATTCTTAGAGGAATCCGTATTTGGTGGAAGACTTCCAGAACTTCCTGCAATGAAGAGATCCCATATACAGTGCCCTGCTTTGACAACTGAAGCAGCGCTGTAATTCGCCTTCTGGAATAAAAATGATTTCAAATTTAAATGTTTATAGCCTGATCCCACTTAGTATCTCTACAAGCACTTTTTTTTTTAAAAAATCTTGCTTTGTGCTTTTAACTGTTCTGCCTGGCAACTATAATATCTTTCTATTATCTTGGCATTTTCAGTGAAGATGCAAAACTATATGGCTTACTGAGAAAAATCACAGTAAGCTAAATCGCAGCTAAGGATAGACTAAAAAATAGAAAATTAGCAAGAGAAAAGGAGAACTGAAACTATAGAAAAAAGCATACATCTTATTCCTGATTGCTTCTTTGTTTGTCTTCTTCACTTTTAATGGTTTTGTTTCCCTTGAACCTGAGTTAAAAAAAAAAAGTTCTGAGCATCTCAGTTATCTCTAAGCTAAACAGAAAATAGGAAGATTAACTCAAGAACTTAGTGAGCTTTGACTTATAGAGGACTACTGCAAGGTAAGAAAGTTAAGTTAGGGTCAACCTGTAAGAAGTTCCTTTAGTTAGTTTGGACCTTATCCCTTGGCCACAGTAAAAACATTACATTCCCATTCATCCTCCCCAAATACCCAGGAGGAACATGTCATAATGATCAGAGTGTCTTTGGATGTGTGATCTGGAATCTTTCCTAGGATTAGTTGAGAGACTGAAGGCAGGAAGAAGAGTATGATGACTTTGGAAAGAATCAAGGCATAAGGAAATGAAGACCTACTCTGGATTGATGGCAGTGAAAATGTGGCATCAGGTTGAGAGATATTACAAAACAGCTGATAGCACTCCCTGGCAGGGCTAAAGAAAAGGAGTTGATAAGTGTCTATATATTTCCTCATCTACTGCAATAAAGAAAAGAAGTTGGTAGAGAGTTTCTAATATTCTTTCTAGTACTAAAATTCCATTATTTTCTATCATTCTATTACCTGAAGATAAGACAATTATTTCAATAATTTTGTATGGCCTTTGATGATATTATAAATATCCAAAATAGCCCTTGGAAGAAATAAAATTCTTACTCCTGTAAACCAACAACTATGATATAGTTCTTTTATAGTAACTGGATTTCTCATTTACTCCAGCTTTTCAAAAAATTTGGGCTATGTTTATAGCCCAATAACTTTTTCTTATTGTATTAAAAATAATTTCTGATCTGTCAGGATAATTCAATTTTTTCCCTTCCCATCTTCCCCCCCCTCAATAATTCAATTTTTGAGCTATCAGAAATTATCTTTTAATATATGCATATATATGTATGCAGTGCATACTTTTTCCTTCTTTTCATTTTGCTACTGAAAGTCACGTGAAAGCAGTGTAAAGAAGTGAAACTTTGCCATCTCCCTGGTATTGACATTGTTAATCTTAAGTTTAGCTCAAATATAGTTAAATAGGCATAGGCTTCTGTTTGGACCAGCACATGAGACGTTAAGCAGAAAAACAATAAAAAAACAGAATTAGGTTATAAAATTACAAGTTAAACCAGTGTCTTAGACAAACTAGGGTACAGAAACAAGAAGATAAAGCATGATAGTTTTGGGGGTACAGGTGATCTATTTCATGACTTGTGGTTTTGTTTGGACCATTTGTTTTTGAAAGGTCAAAGATCAGGAACATGAAAATGAAAGAAAAAATACACTTGTTTCTACTCCTAGTTTGTTCATGTAAAAGTGGGCTCTCAAATTCAATTGGCTGTGTGTGTGTGTGTGTGTGTGTGTGTGTGTGTGTGTGTGTTATTGTGGACTGAACTCAGGTCCTCACACTATACCACTGAGCTATGTTTCCAGCTCTAATAGGCAATTTTAAAAGAAAAAAAATCCTATAATTGCAGCACATTTTCTAATTTGAATAGTATTTTGATTAAATATGAACCAACATTGTGCACTAGAAAGAGGAAGCAGAGAAAAACCTCAGCTTTTAACTTTGACTTTGGAGGAGTCAGATTGAGAGCTATTGAGAGAGAGGAAGCAGGAAGAGGAGGAGGGAAAAAATGAGGGATGGATACAGAGAGAGGGGGAGGGGAAAAATGAAGAAGGGAAGGAGAGAGGGAGAAAAGGAAAGGAGAAAGGGGGGAAGAGAGTAGGAAGATCTAAGATCATCATACCTCAGAAGCATTTTATTTTATTTTATTTTATTTTGTTGGTCGTGGGGCCTGAACTCTGAGCCTGGGTGTTGTCCCTCAGCTCTTCAGCTTAAGGCTAGCACTGTACCACTTGAGCCACAACACCATTTCTGGCTTTCCCCCACTGTTATGTGGTGCTGAGGAACCCAGGGCCTCATGCATGGGAGGCAAGCACTCTACCACTGAACCACCTTCCCAGCCCCCAGAAGCATTTTAGTAGAGTACTTCGGGGTTTCCAGTCTCCTTCTTGGCTGAAGTGGAAAGTCCCTTCTGAATACTGATTTCCATAGTATTATTATTGCCTAGACTAGTGCTTAGCATGTAGTAGGCCCTTCATAAATACATGTTGACCTCCTAAGGTTTGAAATTGAAGCTAAATGAGTTTGTAAAATTTTTAAGTTTAGAGAAACAAAAAGGAAACACCTGCACTTTCTTAGCCCACTTCTTTTACTATCAAGGAGTGGAACTGACAGAAAATTGCCTGAACTCAAGTCTCTTTGTAGTAGCAGAGTAACAAGATCATTTTTTTGTAACGGACAGTGGCTAAAGCAGAATAAATGATGAGGAATTTTCATCCATTGTGACATAGGCTGAATATAATAGTGTCCCAATAATTAATTCTATAAATGTCCTTAGAATTAGAAAAGTTTTTGAGGCTTTTTTTTAACCTAATTCTATTCAAGCTCTCCCTAGACTTTTTTGTTATAAAAAGTTGATAAAAGAAAGAAAACTCATGATTTGTGAACTATAAAAACATTACCCAGGCCTAGTGACCAACAGGCCTGGTGCTTGGTTTATAGACCATTATCGGAAACTAAAGTTGATAAAAGTAAGCTTCTTGATGCAGTTTTAATTGAGGTCTAGGTTTCTATAGCCTATAGCTAATATTGTGTTAGCTATTTCCTCAAGTATGGTTTAACTCAGACTCTCCAACATAGGCTTATTATATATGAATACTTTGAGACAATGTTCATGGTAATACTAGAAAACTATTTAAAGTGTGTATTTCATATGTTTCCCTAGTAGCTAGTAAAAAAAAAAATTCTCTCCTCCTCCCCCTCATCTTCTGCTTCTTCCTCCTCCTCCTTCCCTGCCTTCTTTGGATGGTGATATTAGGATTCAGCTCAGTGCTCTGTGTTTGCTAGACAGTTACTCTGCCACTTGAGCCATGTCCCCCAGCCCTTTTGTTTTCTGTTTGTTTTTCAGGTAGGGTCTCATGGTTTTGCTTACACTAGTCTTAGGTCCAGATCTTTCTACCTCTACTTCTTGAGAGGCTGGGATTACAGACATGCACCAACACACCTGACTGGATTTTATTTGTTTTTAAACCCATTAGGCTTTTGTCAAAACAAAAATTACTTAAAGCTCATGCCCTGCTTTGGGGATGTAGATCAGTGGTAAAGCCCATATTTACCATGTGGTGCACAGCATTTGTTCAATTTGATTTGCATGTGTGCTTTCTGCAAATAGGAGAAAGAAGATGAGAGTGGAGAGCAGTTGTAAGGACTGAGGACCACAGTTAAGCAGAATTCTCCATTTCAGCCAGGAACCCAAATGTCTGTCCCATTAATTCTCAACCAGGCATTCAGATTGCAACCATCCAGGGTTATAATTCCTAAAATTATAGACTCTGGGGTCCCAGGCAGATACTCTAAATCAACAGCAAGATGTGCTTGTCTGTATCTCTCCATATATATTTAGATTCTCCATATTCAGATTTTTCACATTCTAATGAAAATTCTTGGTTAGGAAATACTCACTTTGGCAATAAACTAGAAATTATCAATCTGTCTTAAGGATAAGCAGGAATATTTGTGTAAGAGGAAGGCAAAAAATTTCTAGTCTCAGTGCTCTATGGGATGTGTTCTCATTTTAGCAAAAAAGCATATTGAACTTGGCATCTTCAGAAATCCATTTCAGTAGCTGTTCCCATGTCTCTTTTGGTTTTTCTTTTGTAGGGAAAAGTGAAACAAAGTAAAAGTGATCACTGCCTTCATTTCTTGTAAGTACACACTCTCTTCACTATGGTGCCATTTTCAAATCCCAGTTAG